TATGGGAAGAAAAACTGCCGGTTGAATTCAGATTATTTATAGCTACTCCCCCAAAAAAGTAATAGAAAATTTTAACTTTCTTACAGCATTAGACTTATTTTTCTCAGACTATTGGTTCCGTGCCTTGATCTGAACAATACACAGTCCCTGTGTTTGTTTTTTAAGTTTCTAAAGGATGGTTTATTTATAAAGGAGATGAAGTTTTGCAAGCCACCTTTAAGTGGATTACAATTAACCAGAGCTCTGCCTCAGTTAACAGTCAGCCTGTTAAAATGCTTGCTCATTTGGGAATTTTAATATGGAAATCTCAGATGCAAAATTCGACTGAAAAGGGAAATGGATTGACAATGGAATGTTCTGACTCTTTGAGCCACTGTTAAGTGTATGTTTGTGGGTGTGTGTTTTCTGTGTTTTGGAGTATGTGAAAGGGAACTTTGGGGTGGGGAAGGGGGAGGAAGGAGATTTCTGCTCTGTGTTCTTGATGCACTTTATTTTTTTAGAATCACTCTGAAAGCTACCAGCTGAAAGGATAGTTGCATTTAGACTGTGGCACTGATGATGACCTTAAACACCTCATCTGTTACGATGTATGTTATTTGAGCATGTGTCTTTATGCTAAAGACACTTTATAGTTCTGTTCAGAAGTATACTTTTGTGAAAGATGCTTTGCCTTATTTCTTATTTTCTGTTTTAAGAGCTGCAATATTTGCTTTAACTGTCTACAAAATGGGGAAGCCACTTAGCAGACCAGACTGTTTACGTCAGAATCCCCCATGTGTAGGGAAAGGTGAAGAAGAGGAGGACCTAAATATCGAAGACTGTTATGTCCCACAGCGGTCGATCTATGATACTGTTAGACTAAATGAACAGATAGACTCTGGTTCAAAAGGTAGCCTGTCTTCCAGGCATTTTGCTGATCGGACCTTACCCTACAGTCACAGGACACTGGATGTTAGTTCTTTATGCTCCAACGGTGCCCTTGCTTCTTCCAGTGGGTTTGAGCTGAGAGGTCGTGAAGCTCACACACTAGATGAAAGGATGATCTTTGATGCCCTCAAACTAAATAGCGATATCATTCGAACCACAGGATTACCCAAGGCCAAATCTCATGCAGAAAAGAAAGAGCACAGACGGTCATGGCGAATGTTTGTCCCAGCCAATTTTATGGATTATGTAAACAAAAGTGAAAGCTCCTTCGTTGAACCTACTGATATGTCAGATGCTGTTACCAAGGCCAGCAAGTGCAGGTGGGGGACTAATTCTCTTACATCGGAGGAGGACGACTCTGGTTTATGTAGCCCTCCAGCAGAAAGGGAAGAAAAACCGGGCATTTTAACTGGAGACCAGTCGCGCATTACAAACTTGTCTTCTGCTGAAGATATTCATATAGCGGAACGACATACGCCATTTTTTCCTGTCAATTCCATTAGTGAACAGAAAGTCCCATTGCTTTCATGTAGAAGTGGCCACCCTGATGAAAACTTCAAAATGATTTTACAGGGTGTTTCTCCACTAGAGGAAATGAATGGTGTAAATGGGCAGAGGGAAAGCCCTGGTGAAAATTGCTGCCTGCAGAGTGATTGGAGAGAGAGCAGAGTTAAGTGTGACCCATTAATTATGCCAAGAGATGGAGAAAAGGTGTGTATTTCTAATACCGGAGAAGAAGGGAAAACATGTGGACTGGGAGAATTCCAAATCACAGCCCAAAGTAGGGAACTTTTGGAAGATTATCCCGAGGATTTAGGGCTTTCTCCTTTAGATCTGGGGGGAAATGACATAGATTGTGGTAGCAGAAGTTTAGAAGAAAATGTGATACTGTTAACACCATGCAATTCAGAAGAATCCAACAGAGCATCTGAAGAGGAAGTGGAGGCACCTCTTTCTGCCCAGGAGACGGAGGTGATCCATATGACGTGCTCCCCGAAATTTGTAGCAGTGAGAAAGAAAGCAGCTCCCAGAAAAACAAGGGCCCAGGCAGGAGTATTGGACCCAGTCTGTAATGGCTTTCAGTCAGTTCAGGTAACTAATGTAAACCTGAAACCCTGCAGTGCCAAAAGTTTGTGCTTCTGTTCTCAACGGGTCACTCGTGTTTCTAATAATGATCATATCCAGTCTTTTGTTGGGGGGTGGGGGGTTGACTGGTATCCTGTAAGATGCCAGATATTGATAAGTTGATCATTACAACAGACTAATTAGGGACCAGTTTTGAGAATGATTGTTCCCAGCTGTAGAGAGCCCTGCTATTGATTGTGCAGATGGAGGCTGTTTGCTGTCACTTAGAATGCCTCCACTGTGACTTTATGTTAACATTCGGCTTTTACACAAATTGTGGTTTAAGACACTGCCATTTAAGGGCAGCTACATTGGATTTATTAAGCTTGAACAGGCTTAGTCATAAAGGTACAAACACAATATTATATCGTTGTGGTCTGTAAAGTACTCTATTCAGATTAAGGACGTTTTAAAACGTGCTGAAAGTTTTCTCTCAGTAGCTCCGCGTGTGGAAACAGAGAAGTTACATTGTGCTGCATTTTTCAATCTTGATAGCTCCTATCCTAACTTCTCGTGAGTGGTGAGTGAGGTAAGAAAGTAAAGGGTGCAGCCTCGTAATAAGTAGAGGTTGTTTGTCAGGCCTGTAATTTTTTTCCTCCCACTTAGACTGAAGTTCAGCTATTTTGGTACTTTTACTAAGCTCTTCTGGTAAACTTTGCCTCAGAGGTCATTGTATTTTATTTTAAGCTTCTCTGTGTTTGTGTGCTTATGATTGGGGGAAAGGCTTTCTCGATAGGCATTTTGTTACCACTGAGAGATAAGGAATTTGGACAATATTAGAAAAGTTTCTCTTCTCAGCCCATGAAATGATTGCTCTGATTAGCGATGCCCTTTCCTTGAGCCTCCTTTAAATGGCACGCTAGTGTAAAAGCTTGGCAGAGTACTTCTTTATGTAAAGGATCTTGCAGTTTATTTGTAGAAAGCAATGAAGCTCTTGGGAGCATGTAGATTCTTTAGTAACCTTTTTAACCCTTAGTATATTTTTGTAGCACTTTAGAAAATCATGACAAACTTACCTAGATCTACTTGATATGTAATTCTAAAATTAATTTCTTTGAAACCAAGGTAAGAGGCTAAGGCAATTGACTACAACATTTTATAAGGTTTTTGGTTTTTGTCCTGAAAGTTCTCTAAGAGGGAGACTAGAACTTTTCCCTGAATCCTTATCCACCAGACAAGTTCTTGGGCTTAAGAATGTAGCAGTCCCTGCCCTCACCCCCTGACTTTTTTCTTTCTTTCTTTCTTTTTTGGAGAGTAGTGAAACAGATCCACAGCTCTTCATTCCTAGAAGTAGTAACTTAGTGGTATAAAAAAGAAATCATACATAGAATCATACATAATACAGCACCAAATTCTATTTTCACCACCTTGTCTCAACTTTCTATTGCCTTATGAAGTAAATTGATGCCTTTTAAAAAGGTGTGAAAACTTACTTTTCTTCTCAGTCATTTGGGGAATTCTTATAATTTCTTTGGTTATGAGTAGTTGAATTTTTATATATGGTTGTGCTCTATAGATATAAGTCTCCAGTGTGAAATCGTCTATATAAGAGGGGGCTTCAGGAGGAAAGGGTCATTTATTTGTTTGCTATTCCTAATGTACTCATTCATACAATAGCACGGGAGCATCCTGCTGTTTGGGGCTTTGTACCAGCAGAGGCTGGAGAGTTTGTCTCCCTCGGCCTCTGTATCTTTCAAACTTACCTTCCACACCATGCCTGAATTTTATCAAGTCCCGTCCTGATATTTGCCTTTGTTCTGTTTTCATATATTCTGTTTGATTGCTTACATACTTGGACTATGGACATACCTATGTAGTGCCCCAAACCTTGTCTTACTTTACCTGAAACTTTCCTTCCAGGCTAAATGAACTTATTTTCTTTATGGCATCCTCCAATCCCTGCATTAAAAACATTTGTATTATCTCTGAAAGTGTTGATCTACCCCAGGTATTATCTGTTAAGGGGTTGATGTCATTCCTTCCAAGACATAAATATTATTTTTCTGTACTGATGTTCATTTGGCAAATGATTACCAAGTACATATTGCATGCTAGGTAGTGTGGTGGGTCCAGGGCACGAAACTGTTTTAAGGACAAACTGTTTTAAGCAAGTTCCTGCTTTCACGGAACTTTGCTCTGACACATTAGATCTTTTGACAGTTACAGGCAACCGGGGACCATAAATTGGATGGGATGAGGAATCGGGGTTGGGAGGGTCTGGAAAGCTGCTGACGGTGAAGGCAGAGTCTCTGGCTGGCCCTGTGTGTGATCAGGTCCAAGGGGAGGTCTACATGCCTCTTGCAAGGCCATTGGCCTCCTGATAGACGTGGAGGGGGCTGGATGTATGGGCATCCATGCTACTGCAGGGCCAGCCCGTATCACTTTTTTATTTTCCTGTGCCTGTGTTTTGGCCCCTGTGGTCAGCCACAGGTTGGCATCGTGGCTCACACCATCATCTTGTGAGTGATTCTCACATCCAATTCGAGTCTCAAACTTCAGGCCAGCTAACAGCAGGCATTCTCAGAAGAGCCTATACGAGTCCTTGCCCAGGAACTGGGTTTAGCTTGGGCCCCATCTTATCATTTTGTTCCTTTGCATTTTTCATACATTTTTGCATTATAGTTATACTGTAATGATAGGCAATTTCTAGTGCTATGATAATAAATCTGTAAAGAAAGGACACATGTACTATTTTCTTGGTTTTATAGGTAATTTGGTTAAATGCACCTGAACTATTCTTTAATATTCCCAGGTAGCTTTGATAATAAGTATTATGAATTTGTATTTAGTTTGCTTTCTGGCTGTTATTAATAAGGTTGCTATGACATAAATAGGCAACCAAAATTATCTTTACCTCCAGTCATTGCTATCTGATCACTGAACAGGTGTTTATGTGTGGTGGTTATTAGGTACTATGAGTCATATGATGACTGCTCTTCCGACTGCAGGTATTCCAAAAGGAAGAGATCGAACCCTTGCTGGTTAAACAGCAAGAAGTAAACTGGTGGGGTCAGGGCCTCATTCAGAGCGCTGCTAACAGCACCAGCACCCAGGGTTTGGAGCGGGACCTGGATGATGTCAACACAAGGTGGAAGACGCTCAATAAAAAGGTAATTTCCTCCACCCTTCACTGTCTTTTCTGTTTGTTATCACTCACTGGCATTTGTCGTGAGTATGAATCACATTTATAGTACCTGAATGTCCCTAACATGACCACATTTTATATCGCTGTGAGCTGGGTGGCCCCAACTCAGGTGCCTCCAGAGCTCATTAGGGAACATAAATAAAGGGATCCAGCCGGATGAAACAGGGCCTCTCCCTGTCATTATCTTGACTGTGATAGACGCACACTAGCGCAGGTGTGGTGGCAGGTGGCCCATGACCTTGTCCTGTGTTGAGAGACCACACACCCCCCTGAAGGCACAGACGGTACTCAGCTCCAGCGGGTCTCTGCCGTGGAGGGGTCTGTGCTCCCTGTCCCACTTACTTTCAAAAGAACCTGGGAATCTCACTCCGTATGTGAAATCTTCTAATTTTCACACGTCAGCAACTAATTTCACACTGCACATAATAGGTCACACCGTGCCGGGCAAAAGAGAACAACTGTGCCTGTCTGTCAGCCCCGGGCTAAGTGTTTGCCACCCTTCTTAGGAACTATTAACACCAAATATTATTTTACTTCTCAAGTACAGGGCCAACCTTTAAAAAAATGTACCCATGAGGGAAAACACTGGCAAATCATGCTCTGGTATCTTAAGGAGATAATGTGGATGTACAGCGGGAGGTCTTTGCTCGGCGCGGCGTGCATTTTCAGGAAATGGGTGTTGGGTGGCAGTGCTCCTTGTCTGTCTACAAGCTTTTGCTGCATTGACATCTTTAGCATTGCCGGGCCTCAAACTCACACTTATCATTCTTAAGAGCCTGATTAATATTGCAGTGCTCTCTAAAAACAGTTGGAGTGCAGCGGCAGGTGGAAATATATTCCGTGTGTTTAGAATATCTTGCCAACTACTTTCTTTGTCCAAAAGGAAAAGAGGCACGAGAAGGGCAGCCGGGCATTGTGCGACACAGAGACTCCATTGACTAGACGACAAAGCCCCTGGTCTGGTAGAAAAGGACTCGGAGCTGGGAGCTAGCGGGATTTAATGGGATGCTTCATCGTTATTTTGCCTAGCAAAACATAATTCTGACTCTCTCTGTTGTTTTTTTTCAGTCTTAGTCATTTTATCATTATCCCCTGATATTCATCAGCAGGACATAAAAAAATGAACCCCAGGGATAATAATAAAAATGACTAATGCATTATTTATTTCTGTAACCTTAAAATATTTGGATCGTTCACTGCCAATCATTAAAGGCATTGGATATTCCCAAAATCTCAAAGATTTTTGTCTTTCACATTGACTGTTTATGATGGTAAACTTATCTTCTTGGCTTACTTGCTAAAGTTTCACGCCTTTCTACCTCTGTTCTGTCCATGATCAATGCTTTGGTTAGATTTTAAGTGACAAGGAAAAGAAAATTTGTGACCAAGTGGGGAGAAAGACATGAATACTGGTGGCTAGTGGGCAGATTTCATTGTTTCAAGCACATAAATAAGTTGGAAAAACTGGAACTTGGCAGGTGGCTCAGAGAGCAGCCCAGCTGCAGGAGGCCCTGTTGCACTGTGGGCGGTTCCAGGATGCCCTGGAGTCCCTGCTCAGCTGGATGGTGGACACGGAGGAGCTTGTGGCCAATCAGAAGCCGCCGTCGGCCGAGTTCAAGGTGGTGAAGGCCCAGATACAAGAGCAGAAGGTAAGGCAGTGATCCTTTTGTATTGTGTTTCATGTTCTATATTAATGAGAGTAAAAAATTAACTTGTGGCCCTTTATTTATGTCAATAGGATATCCTAGTTAACTGGTTATTGGTGTTCTAGACATTATTTGTTGGCCATTTGACAAATATTTATGGAATATTTGATCCACCAGGTGCCGTGGATCAGGCATTGTTCCAGGTGCTGGGGATAGACATCACCAAATAGAAATGATCAGAGTTCTTCACTGAGTTTGCGTTTTCATGGGAAAAGAGGGACAGGGAGAGAGAAGCAATAAAGTAAATAAGTACATTGTGATAAGTTAGCAAGTGATAACCAAAGAAGGGAAGTGAGATATGGATTAGAATGTGGTAGCCAGAATGAGGGACAGCAGGTGTCCGAGTGGAGCGTATGTGTGCAATTTTAAACAGAGTGGCTGAGGAAGCCTTCATTCATGGTGAAGGTGACTTAGGACAGAAATACCACTGTTCCCTTATATATTAGGTTGATCCCTATGAAATAGCCTTTTGTGTAGATTAAACACGGGGAGTTTCAACCTGCACTAAAGAGGAAAATATTTGATTGACATATGCTAGAGAATGAGCTGTTGTGTCTTTTGACACGGAGTCAGGACCATGTTGGAAAGGCACACTTGTTCGAGGGGTGGTGACTACTTGGGGCCACACATACACCGTGGTGCCACTGACGGGGACACTCGCTCAGACGGGAAGCGCTTAGAGACGTGGTCAGTGCCCGTTTTTCAGCCATGACATGAAAGCACATATGGGGGCCCCAGACCCCAGCACATTGCTGAGTGTCCTCCTGGGGGAAACCTTCCAAAGAAGGGACTGGATTAAGAGACTTAATTTAATTTTGGTGTTCAGCACTTAGAAGACTTTAGTATATTGGGAAATACAACCTATTGAAAATAGATTTAGAGATAAGAGTTAAAGAAATGTCACAGGAAATTGCGCATGGCTTTTGTGCGATTTTTGAATCATGTATAGCATATGCAATGCAATAATGTATATCACAATATTCAAAATGTTATTTTATACGTAATAATATAATTTTTGCCAGTCACAATTTAATTTAAACCTTTGTAATTCTCCCAGAGTTATCAAACTGTGCTTCACCAACAAAACCTATTTTCTGATTTTGTTTTCGTCATTGCCATATGCTATTCTTTTATCAAGCTACCGAGGAAGTGTAGCTCAGTAGATTTTAGTGCAGGCCTGCAAACCAAAGCATCACCAGTTCGATTCCCACTCAGGGCACCTGCCTGGGTTATGGGCCAGGTCCCCAGAGGGGGGCACATGAGAGGCAACCACATGCTGATGTTTCTCTCCCTCTCTTTCTCCTTCCCTTCCCCTCTCTCTAAAAATAAATGAATAAATTCTTTTAAAAAATAAATAAGTAAAAAAATAAAGTTTATCAAAAAAGTAATCTACTTAATTGGTTTTCTCTACTGCCTAAACCACCTGGTAGACTTTGATTTTTATAATGACTCTGATGTGTGTCAAGAAAGTTTACGTTTCTTCTTTTTAAACAAGGTCCTTTACCTCCTGCTTTGGTAGTCTTGCTCTCGAAATGAAAGTGAGTGAACAGTCTCCTAGCTTGTTACTTCTGGGTAACTGTCCCTATCTGTACTCCTTAACCGTCAGTGAGGATCACATGAAGGACACAGGGAAATAGTATTTTATGCGCCGTGCCCTCCTCGTTGCTGTTAGTAAACTCGGTGCCTGTGCACGGACAGCACTTGCTTGTGAAATACTTGAGGAGATAAGAGCAAAGGAACCCTGAGCTCTGGCTACCTGTACCAACATTCCATCCCAGGCTTCTCCAAATGTTTTCTTTGGATTGAGTTGATTATTTTCTGCTGCTAAACCCTAAAATATCAGTCTTATTTAGCTGGCTTTGGAGACTTCTCACATGTTCCACCCTCTATTCCGTTGGGAGTGGTATTTAAAAGCTCTTTTTTAGTTTTCATCCACATGAGGGATTTTAGGAGCTAGCCCCACCTAGTAAAAAGAGCCAAAAGCCTCTCATTTTCGCCTCACTCGCTTGTGAACTTGGTCAGAGTCTCAACTTCCCTGTCTATACTGGATTGTTCAGCATCGGAAATGGTTGGGAAAACAGTAATGATTTATAACAATCTGTTTTGTCTTAATGGGACAGATCATTGTTCAATGTGTAGGACATTCCCATTTCATTACAATGATTGGAATTTGTCACTCTCAGTGCAGTGGATTTATCCTAAACAGCACCTACTACTCCATTGTTTTACATTACAAAATTAAAAATGAATGGTTTGGTGGACTTATCAATATTGGTTTTGCCTACCCAAAAAGCCTCTATCACAGTGTCTGACCCAGTAGTAATGAGTCATTAAGCAAAATGAATTACTTTTAAAATACTACTTTTCAGATCCTTTTATATTGTGAATCCACACAAAATATATGTTTTGGTCACATAGCAAAAGTGCCCAGAATATATTTTCCTTTGTATTGGTAAGTTTATTCCTTTGACTTTTTTGCGTGTGTATTTGTTTTCTTTCCAGCTTCTGCAAAGATTGCTGGATGACCGCAAGTCCACTGTGGAGGTAATCAAACGGGAAGGAGAAAAAATTGCTGCCACAGCAGAACCTGCAGATAAAGTCAAGATTTTGAAACAGCTGAGTCTCTTGGACAGTAGGTGGGAGGCATTGCTCAGTAAAGCTGAGACAAGGTAACTGAGACGCTACTTCCGATCTAGAAGAGTAGCAGTGGCTTTAATGCTGATGTTTTGTATTTTAGTAGTACTTTCCCTGTTATTCTCCTATGTTTAACATGTGTGTGAACATAGACAGCAAAGGCTACGGTGCCTCTCTTCTCATTCCACTAATGGTTGTGTCTTGGAGTCACCAGACACATCCCAACTCTTTAAGAAAAGCATTTCTCTCGGGGGTAATTTCCTCATTTGTTAACTTCATAGTTATTGCCTGCCTTCTGTGTATCAGGCACAGGCTTGGTGATGCTATGCAGGGATGAGTGGTGTCCTCAGGGTGCAGTCTAGTAGGGGTTTAAGAGCAGCTGAAAAGTAATGACAAATGTGAAACAATTTCAGAGCAAAACTACAGGGTTCTGTGGGGGCATTCAGCAGGAAGAACCTAGTCTCGGGGCAGGGAAGTGGCAGCTAAGCTATCAGAGGAAGAGGAGGAGTTAGCTAGGACACCTGGCGGGCGGGCGAAAGGGTGCTGTAACATATATACGAAGGCCAGGAAGCCTAGAGCACGGCTCTGCTGGGCTTCTGGGCTCAGCCTCTTTCTGTTACATCTCCGCATCCTCTCCATTGACCAGTTTTGAGTAGTAGCGGCATGGAAGGGGAGGCACATAGACTTGTTGGGTTGAAACTAGATGGACCACTGAGCAGAATGGGTACTTCCATAAATTCCTACCTCCTTTGGAGCAAAACGGTGAAAAGAAAAATTGAACGATGGAGTAAAATTAATCATAGGTCTAGGATCATAGAATAAGGAGGCTGCTAAGGAGGTTCAAGTCTTCCTGTTGGCCTTTAGAATGTGTCAGTAGGTGACTCCTTCTCTCTGGTGCCCCAGGACATTGTGCCCTGGTTCCCGTGGGAAATGCCCTCGGCTTTTTTCCCTAAAATAAATGTGTTCAGTAAATAATATCTCATTGTCATGACAATTGATGATATTGTTGTTGTAACATTACTGTTGTTATTGTAACTGTTGTTATTTTTAAGTATTATAACCTAGTTACTTAGGACTTTTATAAGATTCAGGCATTCAGGGTTATTCTGTTGTTCAACTTTAGTTTTATTTAACAAAACTAGTTTAACATGTTCTTCAAATGTGACAGATTTGAATTCTAAACCTTAGCAGTTTCCTACAAAAATGTTTAGAACAGAATTCAGGAAAGCATGAGTGCAGATTTGTGTTGAACATTTCACGCAGTCTTTATCCCTAAGGGACCTCTGTGTCTTGGCACATTTGTAGGAATCGTCAGTTGGAAGGTATCTCGGTGGTGGCGCAGCAATTTCACGAAACCTTAGAACCTCTGAATGAGTGGCTTACAACCATAGAAAAGAGGCTGGCGAACTGTGAGCCCATAGGAACCCAAGCATCAAAACTCGAGGAACAAATTGCACAGCACAAAGTAAGATACCCGCCACACATTAGTAAGAGTTGGTCCTCCTTTTCCTTCCTGGTTTGATGCCATAAATTTGAGTTATGTATTGTTGTGTTAACGCAAGTTGCGACTTAAATTCATTTCAAGTGTCATCTCTTCATTCTATTTATGTTTTCATTTTTATTTGTCCATTCTGTTTGTTTCTCCTTCTGTAAACTTTGTTTAGGCCTTAGAAGATGACATCATCAATCACAATAAACATTTACACCAGGCTGTTAGCATTGGCCAGTCCTTAAAGGTTTTGAGCTCCAGGGAGGATAAAGATATGGTGCAGAATAAATTAGACTCCTCTCAAGTGTGGTACATTGAGATTCAAGAGAAAAGTCACAGCAGGTCTGAGCTGCTCCAGCAGGCCCTGTGTAATGCTAAGATTTTTGGGGAAGACGAAGTGGAACTGATGACGTGGCTGAACGAAGTGCACGGCAAACTGAGCAGGCTCTCAGTCCAGGACCACAGCACCGAGGGCCTGTGGGAGCAGCAGTCTGAGCTTCGGGTATTTTGATTTCTTTTATTTTATTTCACTTTCTTTTCATTTCGGTTGTCATTATTTTCTGGGTCTTCCTTATTTCTGTGTTATTTTGTGTTTGTAACAATTCAGGCCTGTTGCTATTCTCAAGAAAGACTTTGCCTTTGTATACAGATTGCTTTTAATGAAGTTGCTTTAAAGAAGAGATTGAGTGTGTCCAGTAGTGGGGCTTTTTACTTTTCCTTTGTTATTTCATTTTTGTGTGTGATGACTGGTGCTCCAGTATCTCCACACAGCCCGGTATTTTCTGACAAGGAGAGTGCTGCCAGTTGTGGTAGGTGGACCTGGGACATGAGCCACAGTGACGGAAAGAGGAGGGCAAACGTGGGAACAACAGTGTACATAAAAAAAAAAGCGGTGTTTGATATATCTCACCCAGTTAAAGACATTGAATATTGACTAATGTTAACACTTACTTAATTTTTCTTTTCCCTCATAAAAATGATACCTGCATTTTAGGTTCTGCAAGAGGACATACAACTCAGAAAACAAAATGTAGATCAGGCATTACTAAATGGCTTAGAGCTACTTAAACAAACAACAGGTGAGATATCTTTCAAATATCACAGAGTTGACATTTTGCTTTGCTTTCAAAATATTTTAGGGATGGGGAAAATATTATAATTTGCATGTCACTCCAAAACTTTACCATAGAGAATGCTTTGAAGACAGACCAAGGGTGTGTGGAAATATGATCTCATTTTTTTTCTCATGACCTCACTTGAGTGCTTAATGAAAGCTGTGCGTATTACTCACAACCCAGAGCACTGAGGCACAGGAGACGGTGGGAGAAGCTCACGATGGAGTTGCATTGGTTTTCCACCTGTGGGAGGCAGTGGTTCTAGATGAGCACATCAGATGGAAAATTTTTTTAAATATTAAGATGGACTGCATTCTGTGACACACACTGTGGCTAAACCCAGGCTTCATGTTTTCAGCCTTAAATTTACCAAGGAAACAGATCCAAACCAACTTGTTTATTTTTTTATTTATTGATGAGAGAGAGGGAGAGGAACATTGACTTGTTGTTCCACTTATTTGTGCATTCATTGATTGATTCTTCTATATGTCTTGACCCGGGAATCGAATACACAACCTTGGCGTATCAGGATCATGCTCTAACCAACTGAGCTACCTGGCCAGGGCCTCCTATTCCCCCTCACCCCCCAGACAATCTCATCAGTATGTAATAATATCCAAAGAAACCCTTCTCCCTTCCCTCCCCACTTCTTTCCTGTCATGAGCTTTTAACATGCCTTTGAAACTTTAGGTGATGAAGTTTTAATAATTCAAGATAAATTGGAAGCCATTAAAGCAAGGTACAAAGATATTACTAAATTGAGCGCGGATGTAGCCAAGACTCTGGAGCAGGCCCTGCAGCTCTCAAGCCAGCTGCACTCCACCCACGAAGAGCTCTGCACCTGGCTGGACAAGGTGGAGGTGGAATTACTTTCATACGAAACTCAGGTTCTGAAGGGAGAAGCCGCAAGCCACGCACAAGTGCGACAAAAAGTACGCTCTGATTTATGCATTTTGGATCTGTTTGTTATCTTTGGGGGAGTCTTATCACACAGGCATGAAATGGTATCTTTCTTGTGTCATTACTAATATTCTGAAGGATGCCTTGGTGGGCGGGGACCCAACAGAAGTTGGCAGCCGGTCAACTGTTTCAACTTTTAGGAACCCAAAGATGAAAACAGTGTATTATAATTTGTTTTCAGAGTCATATAGTTTATTACACTGCCCAAGAGACAGAATGATGAAAACAGAAAAAAAGGAAAAGGGTCATTGTTTCCTGAGATACACATAATTTGGTTAGAATAACAATATTTTTATGAGACAGATACATAATATGAAGTGGCTTTTAAAACTGTATTGCAAATGTGATCTTCCACCATGCTAATCACTTTTCTTTTCAGAGCTATCAGCCCGTTTGTGTCATCTCTGTGGCACTGTCACATGTGGGGGAAGGGGAGTCGGTGAGGTCAGTCTTGCCGAGCTGTAATGATTCAGCTGGGATGATTTAAAGCCCGTGTGTCCTCATTCTGAGGATCACTTGATTCTGGCTTGGACTTCCCCCTGTATTTTACTTTTCGGGTACTAGATTGCTTAGAGGGTACCAGAAAGCAAAGAGCAATGCGTACCTTGCTTGCTCTTGTTTCCCAATTTTTCAAGATATTAAATGTCTAAGATAAAATCTTGCCATGTGGACAGATGAATTGTTCTTCAGAACTTTTCAGGAAACACTTTCCTTTTTGCTTTAGATAATGAAGGCTTATAGAACTTAGCTGGGACTAAGGGGGCCAGGGCATCTCACTCTGGGCCTGCAAGTGACTTTAGCCCCCAGGATGGTTACAGGAAAAGACTGCTCAAACAGAGAAACATTACCCACGGGCTTCTATGTTCTCGTAATTCTGTTTTCAGGAGCTGAAAAAGGAAGCTAAGGACAGCAAGGCCTTACTGGACTCCCTTAACGAAGTGAGCAGTGCTTTGCTGGAACTGGTCCCGTGGCGGGCAAGGGAAGGACTTGAAAAGATGGTGGCCGAGGACAATGAGCGCTACCGACTGGTGAGCGACACCATCACTCAGAAGGTGGAGGAGATCGATGCTGCCATTCTGAGGTCACAGCAGGTAGGGGCAAGGGGTTTGTTATCTAGGCAATAAATTTTCTCCAGTTGTTCCCAGAGCCTTTACCTGAACAAAGGTTTCTATTAATAGTGTTCCCGTTCATTTGTTCTGCTTCAAAAATGAAAGGAGGAATTTGAAAAGCATTTGGGTTACTTTGACATCTGAGTGCCTGGGCAAGGCTAATCTGTACATTGTATACAGCCATCTGCCTCATTGTTTCCCAGACTTGTCCTTACCCAAGCAGCCCCTGGGAAGGTCAACCGTGCTTTCCAAACAAAAAGCTTTTTGTGTACATATATATGCATATCGCTAATGTTAATTTTATGCATTGGCCAAGTCTGATCTGCATGGGAGTCGATATTTTGAGCTATCCTGTAAGTCAGTATTAACTGTTCATTTACATGCAGCCATGGAACAGAGAGGCCATATTCTTTCCCAAAAGGAAACTGTTGTGCTGGCAGAGTTTTTCCTGAAGGTGACTGAACAGGGGAAGTGCTGGTTGCTGACCTATCTGTGACTCACGCAGAGCTGTGGTTCCAGAGAGTTTTATGCGCAGCCCGCTCTTAGTCAGAGCTCCCTCAGAAAATTGTGGGCAGTGAGGGGGGTCCTGGAGATAGAAGTTTATAATACATGTTTTGATTAACTTTTATTGAAATCTCCGGATATTTACATGAAGTCATCAGTCTTTTATTGCAAGCTGTCTGTGCTGGGGTTAGCGTAGTGTTACAGTGTGCTTCAGAGCAGAGCTCAAGAAGGTACACGGCTAAGCTTCTACTAGCTCAAGCCAAAAGCAAGAAACACAAGCACATTGCGTGGGAGCATCCAAAATTAATTTTCTCAGTTGCCGTAAAAGTGTTATTTATATAGTTCTGAGGCAAAATGCTTCACTGCTCATCCCAGTGCTCTGGAATCACCAAAGCTGGTGAAATACAATGCCAGCCGAAAGCCTGCCTCAGAAATTTTTGCGAGGGAGGGCATTCATGCCTGAGGAATGTATTTTCACGGCTGTTTTCAAAGTTTGGAGGAGTTTGTGTGCCTCATTATTCTAGGAAAATAAGTGTGTTGCTTTGTGAAGTTTATTCAAATATTTGAGAATACTGACATTTTTTTCACCAAAATTATTCTAACATTTTAGAATTGGCCCTGGAGACTTCTATAAATATCAAGACAAGTATTCTGTACTACTCTTGGGAGTAGTTAACTATGGTTGGTTAGTTCAGTGCAGCAGGACAGTAATAAGGGCAAGGAGAGGACAGGTCGAGCTCGTGTTGGTTAGTAAGCTCTAATATGTGCCAAGGTCATTAACTATTCTGGGCTTTCCAGTGTTTTCCAAAGTTAATAATAACCAGGTCGGTATATGTCTTCTAGAACCCAAAGTATATATCCCGTAGGAAAATAACAGTCACTTTTTTTCCTGATAAAATCCTTACAGAAAAATTTAAGATTTTCTGAAATAATACAGAAAAACTCATGGAAGAAAGGAGACATGAGTGGTGTGGTCTCTGTCCTTCCAGCCTCCCTTTTGAGAGAGAAAATGTGGGTCATAGAAGAATTTTAGTACCAGTAGGTCCTACAGCTAATGTCAGTGCCATTAACGTCTTCTGGTTGTTCATCTGTATTTATTCTGTATTTATATGTGCATTCCTTTGGAATGCCTACAAGTTTGTCCAATGAAATACTTCCAGTATAAAGAAAACCAATAAAGTATACCCAAGTCATCAAAAAAATGGAAGAAAATAAAAGGAAGGAAAGAGAAAAACCTCCAGGAAGGCCAGAGACACACACAATTTCGAGCTGGGAGGAGCATGCGCAGTGAGCGGTGCCACGACTTGCCAGTGGCCCCGCAGTTAGTGTGTGGCGGAGGCGCGGCCACAGTTTCATCCAGCCTTCGTGTTACCGCACCAGAGTGCCTCTTTATAAATTAGCTAGGGAGGGAGAATCCGGAGGGCGGTCCATTACTCTCTCATCTGCTTCATTAATCTGGGAGAAGGTGCTGTTTTTGTAGCAAAATGGAAGTGTGCAGTGAGAGTACTTCCGGTCCATGAGGACTCGGAAACGCGCAACGCAGCCCCCAAGGGGTCATGAAAGGTCACTCACTCTGCAAGCAAGTTTAAGATGAAATGGGTACCTCTCTTTTTGATGTGGCAGAGAATTTAGTTTTACAATCAAAGAGCAGTTTCTAAACTCGTAATTTTCAGGTTTATGAAGGAGCTAATACATCACCGAAATTACTTGGCAACCTTGCCCACTTAGAGATGTTTGGAATTAGGACCAGAGTACAGTTTGATTCTGAAATGTTTGTTTTCATGTTAGCCAATAATAATACACCACTGATTACAGGAAGGGAATGATGAAAGAAATCTTCAGACCTAATGTTAGCCATGTGTTTTGTTACTACCTGTTTTTTGATGTATAAACCAATCATCTACCATTTTGTATTTTCCATTTGAAATATCGACATGATCTGACCACGGTCCATTTTTTTAGACACGTCTCTTGACACACACACACTTTGTTTCATTAACATCACTCACAGGTATTGGGATGAGGGTATGTGCCTTAATATGACTTGGAGATTCTTAAATTAATAGAGTAACCTGGCCAAATTAAACTAGATTTTGAATACCTGTTTTCCAAGCAAATTTCCCTTAAGGTGTTTCATCTTTTACTTACATTAAGGTTGTTTATGTACAGACCTACTGCCTTTATAATGTTACAACCTGCCTTTGGGATCCAACAAATGCATGGGGACTTGGCGAGCTGTCAGGCCACGATCACAGAGAATGTTGGTTTTTCAAATATTGATGTGAAATATGTCCAGGAAAAAACATTGAAAAGAATAAAAGTTTGAAGACAGATGGGAGCATAGAGATGTTTTTAAATTTATGTTTACTTTGTAACTACCCTGTGTAAGTTGTTTAAAAAATTCTGATTTGGCATGGTTATATTTTCCATGTTAATCCTATACCACAGTAGCAGTTGTGAAAAGATGTGCTATTAAATTTTGAAATCATAGGGTCAAGAGCCTAAGCAAATTTGAGTGTTAGCCTTTACTATCTGGGTAGCAATTAAACAGCCTCTATTATGGGCAAATGAATGAGGACTGTATACATTCAGCACTACCAGTCAGCAAGCCCCCAAATCTGAATCTACAGATTTGCAGGCATTGATATTCTGAAGATGATGTTCTTTTTTTTTAAATATTTTAAAAATATTTTTAAAATTTATTTATCTTTAGAGGGGAAGGGAAGGAGAGAGGGAGAGAAATATCAATGTATGGTTGCGTCTCATACATCCCCTGCCAGGAACTGGCCTGCAACCCAGGCATGTGCCCTGACTAAGAATCGAACCTCGATACTTTGGTTCACAGGCCCGCGCTCAATCCACTGAGCTACACCAGCCAGGGCCAGAAGATGATGTTCTTTTAAAAAAAAGAATTGGCTCATTCTTGACTTTTAGGAAAAATTGGAGGCGAACAAGGCAGCTTTGTAAATAGTGGGGTGAGCTTTATTACAAAAATAAATAAATAAGCAAACACAACAAGGCATCTACCTCCTGACAATGAATACCATTGTCTGAGCTAGAAACGGTTAAGTATGTTTGCATGTTAAAACCACACAGAGTAACATATCTTCATTACTTTCTTTGTTGAATTGCAAATTGAACCAAATGAGCCATGTGGAAATGAGGAAAGGCACTTTTGATTAAAAAATGTACAAACTTCTGGCCTGAATTCTGACTACTCCGATTGTTTAGACCTCAGAGAAGTTTGTAGTCATTTGCCTCTTATTTTAATGTGCAGTTGTCAGAAGTCGCTAAAATGTGGCCATCTCTCTGGGACCGAAAATACCAGCCACTCCTCAGGAGTTCTGATTGCCTAGTTTATTTTAGCAGGACCATCGTAACCCCTCTATAAAGGCACATGTGTTGGCGATTTGGGTGCAATTAAAATAAACAGCTCATTCCGTCATTAGGAATCAGCCTTGGAGAAAAATAACACCTGTTTATTTCTTTTAACGAGCTAGAAGGAAACCTCCCCCACGGAAGTGAGATTTGTTTAGGTTCTCCAGGTGTTGGGGGTGGGAAAATATGGGCTGTGTTATTAATAATATGCAGCAAAATGGAAGGAAGTGCTAATCAAAAGAAAGTGATAAGATCCTCACCAGTGGCAGGGAGTAAAAGGATTTCCTTGAGGTAAAAGTTTCTTATCGCTATCTTTCTCAAACCTCCATCTCCACTTAACAGGAACTTTCTAGATAAGTGTGAGAGCAATTTGTCAGAGATTGGAGAAATGTTTAAATAGAAAGTTAAAACCTATCACTTATTAACGGTTGTAATATTAGAGCCATTTTTGATGAAATCACATAAGTATTTTAGTGCCCGGGGCCAGAGAACAAGGGATAAAACATGGTGACTAAGACTGCAGCCTCCCGGGGTCAAGTCAGACCATCTCAGGTTCAAGTCTCAGACCCGACCTTTGTTATGAGCTGGGTGATCTCTGGTACCTCAGCTGGTTTTTCTCTGCCTCAGTTTTCTCAGCTGTAAATGGAGTTAATGGCAGTACCCAAGTTAGAGAATTGTTGTAAGGATCAAAGGAGATAATACATGGTAAGCACTTCATGTGTTCAGTGGAGGCCTTGCTGTTACTGTTTTAGAGAGTGCTTTTCAGGAATATTAAGAGCAAGCCAATTAAAACATCTTTCTCTAACTTGTAGAAAAGTTCTAAAATGCCAGTTCAACTACAATAGAAGTTACAGACAGTAGATAAAGTTGATGAACAGACTCTACTGATGATGCTATTAAAGGATTTCCCAGAATTCAGTTATGTATGCTCAGTTATGGATGCTATCTACAATTTGTTTGAAGTCAACTTTTACTAGCTGTATGAGTTGTAGGCAAATTCGTTGAAATTTGTCCAGTAATCTTGCTCTCGTGTTGCTCACATGTAAAATAAGCAGTTTTTATGGTTCATTAGAAATACATGCTAGTAGTTATTTAAAAGTCATAGGCCTGAATAAAATCTCTTAATTTATTATAAATTGCTTAATGTGGATCCCGTGGCTATTCCATTTGTTGCTAAATAATAAATATTTGTCAATTTAATGCAAAAAATAAGATAAAAAGACAGAAGGGAAATTTCTGCTGGAAGTCTTGTTTTCTTTCAGCAGAGCAAATATTTGCCTGGTTAAAGAAACAATGTTTGACTTTCAGCTTTCCATTTTGGCAACTTAGATGGTATCATTACACTGTTTTTCAATGGTTACTTTTTTTAAAGGGAGGGAGATGTAGTATTAAACGAACATGAACACTAACAGCCTGATTTTCTTCATTAGGACTGTCACATAAATACTAAAGGTAACATGAACACAAACGAGTGGGGTAGTGTGTCACTTTATTTTTTCAGGAACTAGCAGAAGAAAAAAGTCATAACCATTAAATTGTACGCAGATATCTTGCAGCGTTCGCAATCACGTAGAAAGGTCTCGACTGTCTCTCAGTTTGTGCTCTTTAGGTGAATCGTATAACAAAGTTCTACCTTTGAAGTCCATTGTCTATGGCCTTAAAGCTAACAATCTATGCATAGAAGACTCTTCCACTTGTTTAATTTTTATCAAATTTATTGTAGTGACACTGTGTGATAAAAGTATATAGGCTTCAGATGTGCAATTCTATAACACATCCTCTGTATACTGTATTGTGTGTTCACCACCCAAAGTGAAGTTTCCTTCCATCACCATTTGTCCCCGCTCTACCCTCTTTTTCCTCCCCACATCCCTCTTTTTTTCTCTGATAATCACCACACTGTTGTCTGCTAAATAATAAATATTTGTCAATTTAATGCTTGTTTGTTTGTTTGTTTTGGCTTAATCCTTTCACCTTTTTTACCCAGAACCCCACCAGTTTCTTCTGACAGCTGTCAGTCTGGTTGGTCTCTGTATCTATGAGTCTGTGTTTTGTTTACTTTGTCCATTAGATTTCATATATAAGTGAAATCATACAGTGTTTGTCTTTGTCTGACTGGCTTATTTCACTTAACACAATACATCAGTTTCTGATAATAATCCATGCATAGAATACCCTTCCACTGGTTTTTAATGAAGATTTATTTTTTCACATCTGAAGCTGCTAAATTAGTTGATGAATTTTTCTGTTTCACTTTATCCTCTCTTCAGTTTGTGTAATGTTGCATAGTATTTAAAGAGTAAGAATGATTTTTTTCATTCTAGTTTTTTATCTCCCCTCTTCTTGCCCCTCACCTAGTTGTCCCCCCACCCCATCTGGATTTCCAAGCCCTCTTCAACAATTAGAAGGTCTGGCCCTGGCTGGTGTAGCTCAGTGGATTGAGCGCGGGCCTGCGAACCAGACAATTGTGGTTCGATTCCCAGTCAGGGCACATGCCAGGGTTGCAGGCAGGTTCCCTGTAGGCCAGTTCCCAGCAGGGGACGCACGAAAGGCAACCATACATTGATGTTTCTCTCCCTCTCTCCTTCCCTTCCCCTCTAAAGATAAATAAATAAAATCTTAAAAAAAAAATTAGAAGGTCTGGCAGTAATGGATTTGAATACTCCCAATGTCCATTCCCTGTCGAATCTTCCAACTGAGGCCATTGCTAGTTACCACTTATTATTGGTGCTGGTGGTGTCACTTACCCACTGTACTCATTTATGACTAAGTGCTTGGCCCTGGAAGGCACTGGGATTTATCTTGATGCAAGGCATTGAAAATGTTCATGCTCTTTGACTTGGTAGTCAACGTCTAGGAATCTACCCTAAGGAACTAATTAGAGATGCCAATGGAGATTTATATACAAGGGTATTCTTTACAGGATTGTTTGTATAATAGCAAAAAAATTCAGAGAACCAAGTGAAAATATCCAAGTGTGCTAGAATACAATGGTGTTACTTAAAAATCATGCTGGAAAGAATATGACATGGGCAGTGTTTATAATAAAGGAACAAGCAGGATATGAAACTATTTATACAGTATTATCCTAGACCTTTATAAATCTTTTTCAACTCCTGGAAGAAAATTCACTAAAATACCAACAGTATTAACTCCAGTTTTTAATTTTCTTCTGTATATTTTTCTGTACTTTATGAATTTCTACCATGAATTACTCTTATGATCAGGAAAGTAAAATCTCTTGAAATATTTAAAAATGCTCTTGAATGTGGTTTCTGATGTTATTAAATGAGATGTAGGAAATTGTACATGAGTCCTTTGGGGATATACTCTGCATACATAGACACCTTTTGTTTATACACTTATAAGACTAGATAATAAATAAATGGAAATGTTTCATTCCTTTTGCTAGAAATCATATACTTTGATAGCAGAATACCTGCATATCATATGGGTTGAAGTGATGAGGAAATGAGTGAAATGCAGTGTGCAGCTATTGACTTTTGACTTGACTTTGATAGCTGCTCAGTTGGATAGTGCTCCTTAGGAGAAAATTCCTAGGACTCTCAAAACTAAGGCAGCAGTGTTTGGTGTCCTAAAATCATTAATGCCGTGCTATGGAATCAACATGTTTTAAGCTTGTGTTTACTTGTTCTGTGAAAATTCTCCTTTCTTTATAACTTCAGTCATTATTGTGAACTATTTTAGGATGCCATGAAGAGGTAAGCTCAGATTTTCCACTTGTGTAATAAAGATATTTAAAAGAAATAGGTACTTTCCTGGCACCAGTTACAGAACCTTGCTGACTAGTTATTTATCTTTTGTTTAGTTTGACCAAGCAGCTGATGCTGAGTTATCCTGGATTGCTGAAACAGAAAAGAAATTGATGTCTCTGGGTGACATCAGGCTTGAGCAAGACCAGACCGCTGCCCAGCTGCAGGTTCAAAAGGTGAAGGACATTTCCAGTTGTGTCTAAATTATTTGCTAGTCTAGAAAATGTGCTCGTGTGATTTACTTTGCAAGACCCAACTAGGGTAACTTGCTATTTTCAGCTACTTTGCCTAATTGTTTTCATTTTATTCATTTGCTCTCTCTAAAAAAATATTTTGTTTTTGTAACTCACAGACATTCACCATGGAAATTTTGAAACACAAAGATATTATTGATGAACTTGTTAAATCTGGACATAAAGTCATGACCACATGCAGTGAAGAGGAAAAGCAATCGATGAAGGTATAATCTTGTCTATGTGACTGGCAGTGACACTCTTGAATAAAGGCATGTGCTGTGCTTTCAGTCCTAGAAAACCATTTTTCCTTATCCACAGCTGCCATTTACAGAACTAAGTCATTATTTGCAAATAAGGCTCTTTTCAGGCTTCCAGAATAACAGTGAAAGGAATATTCCTTAAGGGACAATCTTTTTAATGTACAGAAAAGCTATTAAACTTTGAGCCCTTCACTAACTGGTACACATTAAGCTTTCAATTAATGTTAGCTGTATTATTGCCATTATTATCAGGATAAATATCAATATATGTCAACTGTTGTATACATGCTCCAGAAACATTTGGATCTCTTGAGCTAAAAGAAAAGCCAAACTATGCGGTTCTCTCTAATGTTGATATTCTTTCTTTGTAAAGTTACTATAAGCTGTGTAGGAAAAAAAATGAGCTGAGTAATTAAGGAAGCATCTAGTTTATGTAGTTTTAATGATTCTTTAAATTGATGAAAAATCAGCCACAGTAAAAATGTTTAGTTCAATTTATATTCTGACATCTGTACAGCCTGAAGAAATTAACACTTCTGGTAGGACAATATGCCATGGTAAAAACAAAATTATACAAATATTTATTCTTCAGTCACATTTTGAAGAGTATGCATTGCTTTTAAGGTATAACATAGAATAATCCAGTGCATACTATACAAGTATATTGATACTTTCTCTTTTATTTATCCTCTACAATGGCAATTTATTTGTTTATAATTTAATCTTTCCTTTATTATTTTTGTAAAGATTCTGACATGCAAAGCACAGGTCATCATGAAATAATTGCTCTTTCATTCTTGGTTTATTAGATTACTGCTGCACTTCATCTTCTGCTATTAGTTTATGATGCGAATTTATACCATAATCTAGATCACTGTGATTGCCCCTTCAAATCAATGGGTAGCATATTATTCGACATTAATTCTAACATAGGTAATTAATTTTGCTGACTAGCAGTTCCTCTTAGAATTTCATTAGTAAAAGGTAGTCCTTTTTTTTTTGAGAAAGTAATATAAATGTTTCTAGACTTAGGAGACTTGTTTTCTAACCTGGAAGACATTGTAAAAATGGCTGGAGAATTTTGCTTATTATGTTTGGAGAGCTGAGTGTTTTACTCTTAAAATATTGAGGCCTTGCTTGCTTGCTTATTTATCTATTTGCATAACTTTTTTTTTAAAATTATGTTTTTTTTAATTATTATCTCTTTCACACCCCCCCCCCCCCCCCCCCCCCCCCCCTCCCCCCCCCTCTATTTGCATTTTCATATTTGTCAGTTAATATATTTTTTGTGAAGTTGTGTCATTAAATTCCATGATTTTTGATGATTGTGTAGAATTCCATTGTATGAATATATCAATTTATTTGCCTGATCTTCAACTGTAGTACTTTTTAAGATGTTCCACATTTTTGCTCTGTTTTACGTACATAAATATGTATATATACATGAAGGAGGTCCCCAGGTAAAAACCGGAATTATCTTCCAGAGGGCGGGCCCCTTGTAGTACAGGCTTCCCCTGGGCTAAGTGAATGTTCTAGGAACCCATCTGTTTCAGTGGACCAGCTGGCGTTGTTGTGAGAGGTGGAGTGTGTTTGGCTTCAGTAAATGTTTTTTTAAGATTCTTTCATTACATTTGCCCATTTCATAATGGGTCATTTACAAGTGCAACTGCCCACATCTTACTGAGTATTTAGCAGGCTTTCACCAAAAATGTCTTGACCTCCATGCCCCTATTTGCCCAATCTTGGCTCCAGCAACTTTTTTTTTTTTTCCCCTGGGTGAAAAAAGTCCTCAGAGGGGAACATTTTGTCAGTATAGAAGAGGTGAAACCAGAAACAGCAGATGTGCTAAAAGGCATCAGAATCGATGCATTCAAAAACTGTTTTGAGCAGTGGAGAAAGCGTCTCAACAGGTGTATTGCATCAAATGGAGAGTACTTTGAAGGCGACTGAAGTTTAAACATGTAGGAATACACAATTTTTATAAATAAATTTCATTTCTGGGGGGGTTCCATACACATACACACACATTTTCTAAATTGTGGTAAGAACATGTAATATTAGCATGGAGTGTACTACTACTCAGTCTTAACAAGGAAGGAAACCCTGCCATATGCAACAACACAGTGAGCGTGGAGGGCCTTTCTGTAGTTTAAAATGAACTTTTAAAAATACAGACAGTTAATCTAAATAGCTTTTATTGGTTTATTCGTTTAACATACATTACTGAGTGTCTGCTCAGTGCTGGACAAACGTTCTTCAGGGCCTGTGCTGCTTGGCCTGCCTCACCAGTGAAACCTGTTTCATCGTCTTAATTTCTAGAAAAAACTGGACAAGGTGTTGAAGAACTATGACACCATCTGCCAGATAAACTCAGAGAGGTATCTACAGCTAGAAAGGGCACAGTCCCTGGTTAACCAGTTCTGGGAAACATATGAGGAACTTTGGCCATGGCTGACAGAAACACAAAGAATCATCGCTCAGCTTCCTGCCCCAGCCCTTGAGTATGAAACTCTAAGACAACAACAGGAAGAACACCGGGTAAGCTCGGTGTCAAAAAGAATCTTGTATTCCTCATAAAAGAGAACTGTAATTTTTTTGTTTTTATTATGTTGTTAGACACCTTTGACAGGGTTAGGATATCTTAGCAATATCATGCTCTGGTCTGCACAGTTTGCTTTCCTTGGAGTTGCTTACCTGTTATCCAGTTTTACAGTGAGAGGACTCGTGTGGGAAGACCACGCTGAGTATGTCATTAATTATATCGCAGCTTTTATAGGATAGCATGCAGTATAAACCATCTGGGCACAAAAACAATTTCCACTTAGAATGTTAGAGAAATAAGCTCTGGAAATACTTTTAATGTGTGCATATTGACTGCTTTTCATTTATATGTATCGACTAAGTTTCATGCTTTATATGTAGTGGTGAGAGCAATCAAATGTCAGCAAAGAGTAGACACACATGGCGGTGACATCACGCAGCTACACTGAGCTGGGAGAAATTGTGCAATAGAGGAAATATGATAGATAACACAGCAATGTCATGAAAGCTAACTCTGTTAAAGGAAGAAATGCTGAGTGAAGTATGAAGACAAACTTCACATTTCACCCTATGTACGTGGAATGCATTTCAGGCTGTTGCTTCTGTAAGCATGCAGGGGTAAACTAGAGAGCATATTTACATCTACAAGTGTTAACATGTTTAAAAAATACATAAAATGGCATAATGAAGCTGTCATGCCAGTGGTCACTTAAATGTTAACATATCTTCAAATTTTACAAAAGTTTGAGTGAAAGAGGATGTAAGACTGTCAGAAAAGAAATCCAGACTTCTTGCTATTTATGTACTTGAACCTAGTTGTTTTCCCAGATCTGTACGAGATGTACTCTGAGATTGATTGGGGGGGGGGGAGTGTGTGTGTAAAGTTTAACTCACAAGTATGTTACGTCATTGTTTGAAGTATCTGACATACTTATTAATCTTGTTTGTTTACTTTTTTAATGTATTGACAGTGAAGAATATCTCTAACTAAAGTATTTATTTAGAACAGATCTTTAGATAACACTTTATTATAAAATTGAAATTCTTTGGAGTTCTAGTTAAATCATTCATCAGGAGAAAAACTTGCAAACTATGTAGAATTCAATTGGATTTTAGAGTAAAGGTTGATTTGTGGCAGAAATCCTGATGCCTACCCATTGGATGATTTTTAATATAAAATTTTTTATGGATTTCTTCTACTCTGAGGTGAGAGTTGATTAGCTTTGTTACTAGCATAACATCAATTATTATTGAACCAAGAATTTCAAAATCAAGTAAATATATTTGCATACTATTCAGCTTTCAAAACAAATTTATAATTTTCTATATAAGGAGAACTATAATACTTTGTAGCCAAGTTTTTAAATTATTCACACTAAGTTGTTCAGAATATTTACCACCTTCTAGGATGGCTCTCTATCTATAGCTTCACAATATCCTCTTCAGCTATTTTTGGAAATACCTTCTAATTCATCCTAACCAAGAATAAAAATGTCTCCAAGAGCCATATTACCAGATGGTAGATAGATTGAAGTTACATTAGGTTTCTCCAACACTCGTATGCTGGACTCATATGGTAGTAGGATGCCAAGATCATTTTGTTACTAGTGAAGCAGAAGGCATCTACTGTGGGCCGCTTTCCCCATGCACAGACGTATACACAAATAGGCACCCAGGAGGTGTTCTCTTGTCCCTCATGAAGTGGACTTACAAAGGCTCATCTCACTACTTCCCAAGCAAAGGTGTCTCATACTAGTGTTACAAAAATGAGATCTTCTTAGACTCTAGGCAACTGAAGCACTCTTAGATTTCTTGCCCTGGCTGGGTAGCTTAGTTGTTTAGAGTGTCATCCTGATGTGCAAAGGTTGCAGGTTCCATCCCTCAGGGCACATACAAGAATCAGCCAATGAATGTATAAGTAAGTGGGACCAAAAAAAAATCAGTGTTTTACTCTCCCTCTCTCTTTCCCCTCCTCTCTTTAAAAACTTAATAATTTTTAAAAATTAAAAGAAAGAACTTCTAGATCTCTCATTTTACTTGTGAGCTTATTTTACAAACATGCCTCATAGAATATTGAAACCAAAATGTATGTAAAACACTTCTTTTCCATGAGATTGTGTGTTGACCAGCATTACCATTGCCACCTCTGTTCTGTAGAACAGCATGAAGCTATGTCTAATAATATAAAATAAAAATAAGAAAATCACAGTCTGGACCCCCCAGGAGCTAGACTGTAGCTATGTTCTTATGTGCAGCATGTTACATTAGACCCCCTCCATTTTTAAAAAATTGAATTTGTAGTTACTTAGCTCTTTTCCAAAAGAGTTTTGAGACCACCTTCAGAAAAACTTCAACTATAGTGTATTACACTGGAGATTGTTAGTGTTCTAATAAAGTAATGTTCTCAAGAATTTTCAAACTAATTTCTCAACTGATTTTAGCAAGTACTTTCAATAAAATCAGTATGTGGCCATCCTGGTGATTCTTCTTGGTGAATGATAGAAAATAAAGTATTTGCAGGAAAAGATTGGTAGCTTTCTCTAGACTGTCTTCCCTGAATATAATCTCTCTCAGAGAAGCTTTTGTTTGGGCTAGACAGCAGACAGTTTGGGGAATGCCTTCTGGTGAGAACTGCTGCTCAGAGAATCAAATGAATGACGTGGAGTAAATGGAGCACTCCTCAGTGGTGCGTGGAGGCTGGCCTCAGCGAAACCTGCATGCAGTGACGGGGCTTTCCCGAGAGTGGTTTGGGATTAGGCCCGTGGAATATGTTCAGTATTCCATGGAGTATAGATACGGGGGATTTATTCATCTCCTTAGAAAGAATAGGGCTTCACTTGGATTTTACATTCATTCATTAATATAAATATTGTGTCTATTGATTAGATATCGTTCAATGTACTCATGCATCACATGTTTTTCTTTAAATACACCTTACAAATAGTGCTTAGTATAGAGCTGTATTTTATGAATTGATTATCCTTGCAGTCTTTAACATTTTAAAATAAGTACAAATCATTCATGTGTATTTATCATATATGTACATAGACTAGATTAATACATGTACCTGTAATATAACACATGTATGCATTTTTATATTGGCTTATATATAATTACAATGCCTTGTGGGCTTACAGCATCTAATGCAGCTTTGTGCATAGTTTTTTTTTCTCTCAGCATTATTGTTCTCTTCTACTGAAGTTATTTTTCCTTGCTACCTTCCTTCCTTCCTTTTTTCTTCCTCCTTTCTTTCCTTTCTTTTTTTCTTCTTATTTTCTTTTAAATAATTTCTGTGTATAACATGATTGTGTGTAAAGGGATACCAAGAGTTATGGCTTGGTCTCTGCAGGTTGGGGACATACAGTAAGTTCAGAATCCTTTTATGTAATGTGATCCTTGGCCAATACTCTCATCAACATATATGATGCTATGAAATGCATAATGAACTGGGGTTTGGTATTTCACTCAACCAACATTTTGTATGTACCCTTAAAGGGACTTCAACATGACCAAACTGTTGTTTAATCTTAGTGTCAGGGGCACCTCTTTCTGGCAGAGACGTATAAGCCATCGTGTATTTAAATGCTTTGTGAAGGTAGGTTGTTTGGAGTTTTGAGAGTTGAGTACTTTGCGGTTGTAGGCAGCTGTGATACGGAGTGTTGACCCTGAGATCCTGAGAAGCTGTTTGGTTTGTTATAGCAACTGCGAGAGTTGATAGCCGAACACAAGCCTCATATAGATAAGATGAACAAAACTGGGCCGCAACTATTGGAATTGAGCCCAGAGGAAGGCTTTTCTATCCAAGAGAAGTATGTGGCAGCCGACACCCTTTACAGTCAAATAAAAGAAGATGTCAAAAAGCGAGCTGTGGCACTGGACGAAGCCGTTTCTCAATCTACTCAGGTAATCGTTTGCACCAGAAATAGGGTTCAGTTCTGCCAAACAGCAGAGCATGGAAAGACATTTTCCTGGGCCTCCTGATTAAATTTCAACTAAAATTATTTCACTGTATTATCTTTAGAGTACTGATATCTTTGTCTCTCAGAAGTGATAGTTCCTTTAGTCCAGTCCTAATATTTCTCTGCCTGCTTATAGATAAAATGAAAAAACTTTCAATGACTTGAGAAATTTATAGTTTTCCACATTGTCCAAATATTTAAATAAGAGTCCAAATAGAATGCAGTATTCGCCATTGGGAGGAATAATGCCGTATTGTTATTATGAGTAAAACACTCCCAAGAAGGCAATAAAAAAGAGTGAATGACAGGCAGAGTGAGAAGGAAAAGACATCAAGCTGGAAAATGATATTTTAAAAATTTCAAAGATATCTTTTTTAAGAAGTTGCATTTAAAATTTCCTGGAAGTTTTCAGTTTTCAAGATTTGGATTTTATTATTAGATATACTGACATTAGACTGGTCCATTTTCTATAATCCTGAGTGATGATTCCTTTAATATTGAGAATAGTGTAGAATCTACGAATTAACAAGTTTTTATAACTTTGCTTCATTATCTATGGTACTTTTGCAAACAAAAGTTTAAAATTCTTTCATTAACCTGATTAATGTGTTTGATCCTGAATTACTGTAAATACAAACTCTCATTACAATATCAGGGAGGTTTAACATTCTTTCAGTTCAGGAAACTTTTTTTTTTTAATTTGTTTTATTTAATTATTTTTCAAGTACAGTTTTCTGCCTTTTACTCCCTTCCCAGCCCACCCCCCGTGCTCCCCACCTCCCTCCCATTTCCACCCCACTTAGCTGTTGTCCGTGTGTCCTTTATACTAGCTCCTCTAAATCCCTCTCCTTTTTCCCCTGACAGTTCAGGAGACTTTAAGAAATTCTTTTAATCAAAAAATGCTCATGCATTTCACATTTATTAATATAAAAAATTTTAAGGTGCTAAAACAGTCAGTAAAAGCAAATAAGACAATCAGTTTTGATAGAAAAACACCCAGATTATTGAGTTTACTTTATGAAATTAGAATTTAAATAACAAGGCAAAACAGTAGATAAGATGCTACTGAGAGAAGACCCATTATACTTTAAAATACACCATTTCTTAATGAATATACTCAATTACTTGCAAGAAGCATCCCAGTCCACATGAGTAGTGTGGTGCAGAGAGTGCCATGTAAACCACGATTTTAGGAAATCTTGGTACACCTGCTGTAGAATTCTTTGGATGGATATGTCATCTGAAGGACTAAGATTTAGTTCTTGATCATGACAGTAAATACATTTTTTTTCTTTTCATTTAAATTTTTGCATTTGGTATCACGGGTCTTTTCTCACCAAGTGATCCCTTTATTTTACTGCTAGTTCCATGACAAGATAGACCAGATTCTTGAGAGCCTGGATCGCGTCGCGGAGCGCTTGAGGCAGCCGCCCTCTATCTCTGCCGAGGTGGAGAAGATCAAGGAGCAGATCAGTGAAAACAAGAACGTGTCGGTAGACATGGAGAAGCTACAGCCATTGTATGAAACTCTTAAACAGAGGGGAGAGGAAATGATTGCTCGGTCTGGGGGCACTGATAAAGACATTTCTGCCAAAGGTAATAATTTCAAGATAAGGAAACAATTGAACTTTACTTTTAAAACAATTATAAACGTTCATGATATTTACTGGCGGTCCAATTGCATATCAGGGTGCCAGACATTAGAAAAGGTATTACCAATATGGCATGTTTGGGACTGAAGGGCTTTGTACATTAATCCTTGTTAATGTCTTCCTGTGTTTGTAAAATAATGGGTTAAGTACAAAGTGTGCCATTATACAAAAACTATTCATTCTCCAGACTTTTTAAACCAGCTGATTAAAGCATAACACCAATAAGATTAACCCTAAGGATTTTTTCCTCTTTACTAACTATACTGCCTCACATAATGGGTACTGTCCCCCATAGTCACAGAAATAGCAACCATGACCACAACCAGCCATCCTTAAAGATATGAGTTGGGGGTCAAAAGAAAAAATGTGTGTAGGTTAGTGTAAATTCATGTTAAAAATGCTGTAGAAACAAGTCCAGCATGCATATCCTATATCATTATATTCCTGGGACTGAACAGATATCTTTACTCTTGATTTGAGAGCATAAAGAATGTAGTTGTATGGTTATTTCACTTTCCTTAGAATTAAGGCCAGCCTTGGTGAACTAGAAAGGCAATGGACTTAGTCTACTGTGAACTCACTTGCCCTTGAGCACACACTTTCATCGGGAAGAGCCTTGGTTCAGGAGGAGCTGGACATCCTCCCATCTTGCATTTGTCTGGAATAGTCCATTGGGCCCTATGGTACCCTGTAGACTGAGATCAACCAAAATTTGGTCCAATTTCAGATACCGTATTGAATCACCATTTCTCTGTGAACCAAAATGTTCTGCTTTATTGCTTAAACGTTGTTTTGTTCCCACAGCTGTTCAGGATAAGCTTGACCAAATGGTTTTCGTTTGGGAGAACATACACACGCTGGTGGAAGAAAGGGAAGCCAAACTCCTGGACGTGATGGAATTAGCAGAAAAGTTCTGGTGTGATCACATGTCATTGGTGGTTACCACTAAAGATACTCAAGATTTCATCCGGGATCTGGAGGAACCTGGAATTGATCCCTCAGTAGTGAAACAACAGCAGGAAGCAGCAGAGGTGAGCAGAGTATCCCATTTGAAGTGAAGAAATAAAGTTGTAGTACAGTGTGAATCCTTTTGGTAAATATTCAGAATTATTCCATTGAAATTTATATTTGGATCCGAAAGTGGAATGCATAGTGATATATACATATATTAGGAGTATATATTTTAACATCACTCTCCATCCCTACTGCTTTTGCCTAATGACAGGACCTCATTATCTTTCTTGGTTTCTAAAGGCTTTCCTTGCCAGTCTTCCAACCTTGTTACCAGTCACCTCCCTAAATCTGCTCTTAATTGTGTTGCTGCTTGAAACCCTGCAGAGGTGCTCGCTGCCTACTGCACAAAGTCCAAACTCCCTGCAACAGGGTGTGGGCCTTTACATCCTAGGTGGCCTGTGCCTCTGTTTCCAGAGCAGTTATTTTTCCTGCTGTCCCTTTACCAAGCGCCCTCTCTTCTGGCACACATGTGGCTTTCTCCAGAACTGCTGTGCTCTTTCAAGCATCTGTATCTTTGCACATTTTATTTTCTTACCGTTGGATGTCATTCTTACCACTCTACTGGCAGATCACGCTCAGATTCCAAGGGTCAGTTGGATAGTTACCATCTATAAAATCTTCTCTTGGATACTTGGCAGAGTTAGTCTGTGTTCCCATAATATTTCCTCATGCAAAGGGTCTGTGCATAGTTTGACTTATCATTGATTATGACTTTGTCTTTCTTAATGGACTCAAAGCTCATGAGCAGAATGGTCATATACCTGTTTTTCTTGGCATTTTCAATACCTTGTTTAGGACTTGTTTCATGCTTGGTAAAGGCTTCTTGAATTAATCAATATATTTAACCAAGAAGATAAAAGCAAAGTTAAAATACTGCGCTTCTGTCAGTTTTTGTTTGTTTGTTCATTTTTTTGTAGTTTACATGCACCAGAGTGAAAACATAAATCCAGAGCTAGGATATCCTGGCTCTATTAAACACATTATTTGGTGTGAGGTCTCTAAACTCATGTTTTACTTATGTCTGTTTTCTATATGTATTGCCAAATGAGTCAGTTTGAAAAACAGTATCTTTCTATGCTTTTTAGTATTGTTGTGTTTGTATTTTAAAAACTTGTTGTAGTATTTGTTACGCAGAATTATTTTCTAAATATTATCTTTTTAATAAACATTTGACATTTGTTACTCAAATTATGCTTTTTTCTTTAAATATTCTTGTTATCTTTTCTCATTGAAAAGATTTATTGCAGAAACTTAGAAAACAAAAATTGATCATAATCCCACCTCCTAGAAATAACTCCCATTGATGTTTGTGTGCATCTTTTTAGTTTTAGTATAGTTGTGCTTAAAACTCTAAGGCTGCCATTTCTTATTCTAGGCCATAAGGGAAGAAATAGACGGACTACAGGAAGAGCTGGACATAGTTGTTAACCTGGGTTCTGAACTCATCGCCGCATGTGGGGAGCCTGATAAACCCATTGTCAAGAAGAGCATAGATGAGGTATAACTAGTACATGTTCTGCTCTCACCAGAATGCTATTTTTAAAAAGTTCGTTACATAAAGCGTGTTTAATAGGAGTGTTTGAAAAATTAGGACAATAAAAGAGTTCTAATGTTCTCGTTGTAGTTAAATTCAGCATGGGATTCTCTAAATAAATCGTGGAAAGACCGCGTGGAGAGACTCGAGGAGGCGATGCAGGCTGCGGTTCAGTACCAGGACGGACTGCAGGTAAGGGGACTGCAGTGTGTCTGCTGGGAGAGGGAGTCCTGCTGATTCCTGTCTGCAGATGTACACGTGGCGCCAGCTCAGGGCTGCAGAGGTGTGTGTCATCTCCTCACCTGCTACAATTCATGTTTGCCCTTAGGAGGTACTTCTGTCACTTGAGGTAGGTGTAGACTTATATACCCATTTAAATGTGTTTTTATATACACATTCGGTGAAATATCCTTTGAAAAGAAGTATTTTAATTTTTTTAAGTTAAGAGAAATATTCCCACACAGTGTTTTCCTAAATGGCTTAGCACCAGACACTGAAATTGAACTGAATCCGAGCTCTGTTCTGAAGTTGAGTGGGGTCAGATGAAAGGGGTAAACACCATCTAAAAATACCACCAAGTTTAACCAAAGTCAAAGTGAAGAAATTTGATTCGAAGCCAGTGTTCGCCAGGAACTCAAATAGATTTCTAGTTTATTAGGTCATAATCTGTTTTATTCTTTTTCATGTGCATACTTCCTTTCAATAGTTGTTTTCCATGTCCCTTCAGGGTTCTTCTTCAGTTCATTAGCCATTTTTAAGGTTTTTTTTTTTTTTTTAATATTAAAAGTTATCACGTCTGTTGAGGCCAACTCTGGGCTATTTCTTGCCCTACCTTCCTTCACTTCCTTTCTCTAATGTTAAGGCTGGCAAGAGTTTAGTCTTTTATCCCTCTTACCATATGGAAAAAGTATTTCCATAACACCAAGTGAATATTATTTTTAAAGCTCAGATGAGAACATCTTTTCCTTTTTATTATGCCACTCCATTTCTATATTTATAAAAATAAATATCATAAGCCAGGCCTTATGCCAGCTGAAAAGTGTTTTGAACTTTGGAAATAGATGAAAAAATTCACTACAAATAAGACCTTATTAAATATAACTTTCCCCCTCCATACCCTTCCCTTTTTTACCCAAACTGATAAATTATTGGTTAGATATCACTGACCAGTAACTGATCAAGCTCCAGTTCTTGGTCTGTAAGGCCAGGTAACGATATTCACGTACTTTGTTGAGTTATCCCCTCCTTCCCAGCTAAAGATGTCACTGTCACCACTTACAGCCATTTGACCTCAGGAGCCAATAACGTAGGAGGCGGCAGGCTAGACACTGTGATTCAGACAGTCTCATTACTGCTGCTTTGAAAGCAAGGCCCATCCTGGGTTAGCAGCATTGCCTGTGGGAGTGAAGGGCAACTTGACCTATTGCCAGCTGTAGCCAGAGGCCGAAAGCTCTCGAAGTCCCAGAGGTTTCAAGGGGGGTTGTAAAGTAAAATAAATTTTATTTCCCAGGTTGCTGTTTAAGTTCTTAGGATTTATTAATTATAACTTTAAAAGATCAGATATTTTCCATGAGTGTTTTCCCCCTACTATATGGTTTGGCACCCTCATTAAAGTGCAAAATAATTTTATGTATTCAGTACCTGAAAAAATGTGAGTTGAGTCTTTTTAGGATGTTTATATTACCTAAAAATAAGAAGAAAAATAGGAGATTTTGAAGTCTATGTTGCAATTTATAATAATGGTCATAATATTCATCATTACATGTGCAGGATTTTAATACTAAATGATGCACAAGGGTTTAGTTGAGCCAAATATTTTCCTCCATGCCAAACAGTAAACTTCTTGATTGCTTGAATAGCACGTGGGTTTGAGTCTTTTTCTTTCAATACACGGGGTCCAGCAGAAATAATGCCTGCTTGAGTGTGGTTGGTAGGGCACTAATATGGGTGTAATAATTTATAGTTTTAATTTGAACATTCACCTACAATGTCATATGGTGTGCTTGAGTGTGATATTGTTATGTTACAGAGTTACAGGCTTATGATTTTGTAATAAAATTTTTTATAAAAAATGAGGGGTGTTATTTGTGCCAGACCCTGTATTTATGCAGTCTGCTTTTAGAGGAACATAAGAGGACATAGACAATTTTATTTCTTGTGATTGAATTTATAAAACTTTTTTCAAATGAGCATTTTCTTTAAGTTCATAATATTCTAACATTCTATTCAAAATAGAATTTCCTTTGCAAACTTGGATACAGAATTGGAGGTTACATCTAATTCATATTGTGGTCAACTTTCAGTATATTGCTGCTTTTACCTATTTAAATGAACCTTCTTTATGATTTGTGAAATAGACTCATTGCATAATCTCTTCACAGGTTTATGATTGTACTTCTCTATAACATCTAGATATTAAAGCAATTTCAAGTGCACTATTATAATAACACATGGACTAATGTGTTTTTCAGGCAATATTCGACTGGGTAGATATTGCAGGTGGTAAATTAGCTTCAATGTCCCCCGTCGGAACAGATCTTGAAACTGTAAAGCAGCAGATTGAAGAATTAAAGGTATGGGCAGGGGCTAATGTATAAAAAACGTAGCATTTTTAAGTTTTTGATTCACAGGATTCTTGACACAAATTTATCTTCCATAATTGAAGTACATTTTGATTATAAAACTGGTTTAATGTAGTACCTGCACCCAATAAGCAGTACATAAGTGCATCTTCAAGAATATAAAATATTAGTGGTTTTCTTCTTATTAAATCAGTAGCGATTTTTTTCTAGAAAAATTGGGAAATACAAAGAAGTAAAAAAGGTAGGGTTTTTTTTGTCCACCCAGGTTGTTAGATCCCCAGAGACAGAGTTATGGTTTTGAGTTATGAGTTATGAGTTACGGTTTATAGTCGTTCAGACATCCTCACATAGGGGGCAGAATGAGGTGTAGGGAATGTATGTGTACTTTATACATATGTAGATAATACTGTTAGGATTTTTATAACTTCATTGTTTGATAGTTTATTATTGTCAATATACATATAGCAGTATTTTTATTTTCTTTGTTGTGTTCAGAATAATTCATTTAGTTTTACAAGCTAAAGAGCCACACATAGGATAATTATGTTTCTCAAAATGTTTTATAAATGTTTCTTGTTTTCCATCTACTTTCCTCTTTAATTTTTCTTCTTGGGGTTCTTGATCTCCAGCTGTGAAAATGGCTGGCTTTCTCTTTGCATCCTCTGTGCCAGTCGCTTATAAAAGTGAGACCAGATATCTCTTTCCGAATTTTGTGTCCATCCACAGACACATCACACCATTTTCAACGAACTCTACTAGCTTTTTATAGAAAATTATTACCTGGCTTTAAAAATTGCAGCATTTTCATCTCCAAGTGTGATAACAGAATATTTCATTTAGAAAAAATGTGGGAGTTTTAAAAATAATTTTACTGTTACCATCATTATATTGGGCTTTTTTTATCTGATCATGTAGTAACACATCATACTTTATATACAGGTACAGCTGCGGAGGACTATATTTTGGATACTTACACGTATCTCAGTGGTTTTGTGTGGCAGGCGGGTTAGGAAGGCTGTGTCTGAAATTAGGTTGACTGAGATGGCTCTCTAGTTCATCCACTCACTAGCTAAGTGAGTTCAGGAACGTTGTCTACCTGGTTTCCCTTCTGTGTCCTTAGCTTAAATTGAGAATACAATTATTTTATTTATTGGTTTACTGAGAGTAAGTTGAACATAACAAGTGCTCACTTGACCATAGTCATTATTTTTTAATTATTATTTTTATATGTTTGAAAAATTGAGGGGCTTCTTAGTCATTAATTACTATTTAATTATTTACTATTACACATTAAATATTTTATAAAAGGACAGTTTCCTATTACAAGCAACCATTTGTTAACCTGTGTGGATTGGCAAAGGCAAGACTGCTAAATATGTGTCAGGAAGCACTGGGAGGGAGAATAATGTTATTCTGGGTCAGCAGTGAGTATGAGTCATGGGGAAAGCTACATATTAATGGACACAGCACAGAAAACAAAATGTTCAGTGGATGTAAGACGTGTGTATATTTGAGCAAGAATATTAATTTGAGGCTCTTAGAGATCTTTTTCTTTTATTTTCATCTTTTTCATAATTTTAAAATATATTGAACATTATAATTAGACATTAGAATAAGTTCATCCTTGAAATTTGTTAAATTTTTATTATAAACTGGAAAAAGTGAAATAACAAAATTATAAATAAAAACATCTTTCCATCAGAAACACTGAATAAAGAAAAAATATTTCCCCTTTTTTAATCTACAACACTTATAGTCATAAACCGTGTATTACATTTTAATTCCTTTTCACCCCACCTGCCCCACAGTAAGAAGTGTGAATTAGAATAAAGATCTAACTCATAGACTTATTTTTGTTTCATGTTACTGATTTATAACACGTTTTTCTTATGTATGTATTTTTTTAAATAGCAATTTAAGTCAGAGGCCTATCAACAACAGATAGAAATGGAAAGACTGAACCATCAAGCAGAGCTTTTGCTGAAGAAAGTAACAGAAGAAAGTGACAAACACACTGTGCAAGACCCACTCATGGAACTGAAATTGATATGGGATAGTCTGGATGAGAGAATTATCAACCGACAGGTAAACAACAACACTTTTGTTAGGAATTTATAAAATTTCAATTTTGTGTATTAATGTAAAATAATTATGAAAAACTAAAATTAGGTGATTATGTACATAAACTTTTGAAGCCCTTAAATTTTCTTATTTCAGAACTCTTTCTGTGTCTCATATGCCATGTTTTAACCATAAAGCATTTCAAACTGAGAATGTGGAAGTGTATGATGATTGGGCTTCACTGGATATACTTACAGACTTATGCTGCATGAAACAATTGATTCGTTGCTCATGTTTTATAAATGTATGATATTTTTAATAACAGAGTCATACATGGATTTTTTCCTCTCTCCTTTTTCGGTAGCATAAGCTGGAGGGTGCCCTATTAGCCCTGGGGCAGTTCCAACATGCTCTGGATGAGCTGTTGGCCTGGCTGACGCACACTGAGGGATTGCTGAGTGAACAGAAACCTGTCGGAGGTGACCCTAAGGCCATTGAAATTGAACTTGCCAAGCATCATGTACGTAGCTGTTGTTGCATATTATGTTTCTTCTCTGTGCATTTCTGGTTTCATCCATTTTTTATGTTTCTTCTTTATGCATTTTTCTTTAAAAATTTTTTTCTGTTTTTAATTTAAAAAATTTTTATTGTTGAATTACAGTTGTCCCCACTTTCCTGCCATTACTGTCCCTTGCCACCTTAACCACCCCCCTCCTTCCACATTCACTCCTCCTCTCCCCCCGCCCTGCACCGCACCCACACCCCCACCCCCATCTTTGTTCATGGATCCTCTATACAAGCCCCTTTACTTGACCCTTCCCTTTTTTCCCCCTATTATCCCCCTCCCTTCTCCCCTCCAGTCACTGTCAGTTTGTTCTTTATTTCCCTGTCTCTGGTTCTGTTTTGCTCACTTGTTTGTTTTGTTGATTAGGTTCCATTTATAGGTGAGATCATATGGTATTTGCTTTCACCGCCTGGCTTATTTCACTTCACATAATACTTTTCAGTTCTCTCCATGCTTTATGCATTTTTCAAGTTTGTAATTTTAGCACAAGTTTGTGTTTGACATTTATAACTAAAGGTTAACCTTCTTAAAACATTTCTTAAAAGATTGTAAAAATATTTTTCTCATTGCTCAAGGCAGAAATTATCAGAAAAGGCAAGGATGGGAAATTCCTTGCTAAATTTTACTAGAGCTGCCTGGCAAACAACACATGCAAGTTTAAATCCCTGATTGCCCCTGTCATCTGGTTAATGTGCCATGGTTTGAAGAGTTCTTGGGAATACGTTATTTCATAAGTTCTAGATTCAAGTGTTGTTGCACTGCAGGTTGAGTGTGTATTTCCTCTGTTCACACTTATCTCCGTGGCTCTCTCACAAAAGTTTTTGTGTGTCCTGCACTTGATTTAAAGCTTATAAATTGAAAAATTTTATCTTGAGATCTAGGCAACACGATTTTATATTGTTGTCTTGTTTGTGACACTGATAATTTTTAATGGAAAATTCCTGTCTCTTAAATTACTAGGCTTAATGAATAAAAGTTTATGTGCTCAGTAGAGTTTATCCTGACATTGAACAGTCTTTCATAGAACCCTACCATTCCCATTAACAGTGGTATCTATTCAGGTTAGATCCTAAATCCTAACCTAAAATAAGTTTTATTAGTTATCAAATAGAAAAAGTTTGATTGTTTTACATATTTAACAGCGTTTAGAAATAAAAGATGTTTTTTAGCACTCTAAGATTACGGTACACAGTTTTTGACTATTCTTGCTTTAGTTCTCCTTTTTCCATACCCTTTCCCACAGTAATTTTTTTCTAATTTAAAATTTTATCTCTTTTTTAACCTTGTTCTGTCTATATTTATAGTCATTGCTCAACCATATTTGATTAAGCAGTTAGAACTTATGCATCATTAATACTTCTCATTATTTAATGTCCATATTATATCTTCAATAAGAGCAGTAATGACTAGCCAGACTGACTCTGCATGTAAACAAAACATGTTTATTCTCATAGTGAGGGTTTATAGCATTTACATTTCATAACTTAGCAATTGTCCTTAAAAGTCACATACATCAGTGACAAGAACTCTGTGGAATATAGTAAAAGTAGAAAAACGAGGCACCGTGATCCAGTTATTTTGGTGAGTGATGAGTTGGGGACCTTTCATTTCTGTTTGTTTATCTTTGAACAGTTAAAAATGGGTCCTTCTTTCATTTCTCAAAGGTCAGAAGTTACAGACTCAGGATTGCCAGCACAAATGCTGTGGGGAGTGGGGGGCGGGGCGAAGGAAGTGTGCCTTCTCTCTCATGCCTCCTTCTCCTGCTTCTAGGTTGTGGCTTCTGTAGGACTTGGGCCATTTAGAAGAATGAATTTTATAGAATTATTTTTTTATATTTTGGCCATCAGAATATTTAAATCTTACCTTTCAAAGGTGATTCCTAGTGTTAACATACCAAAGAGCATGCTTATTATAAAAAAGACTTCTTACTCAGTTGATTTTATAGTCTCTGAAAATCACTTCCTCACCAGGTGCCTCAGAAATGAGCACATACAGAGAAACAGTGATTGTAGATGGGTGTTGCCCTTCAGTGAAAACGCCCCTTGTCTGCATTTCCCTCCAGATGCGAGATGCCTTACCTAGGACAGGAGATGATGTTTTTTTTCTTTCCCATTGACAACCCGCAGTCTACGTAGAGAAGGATTATCAACTCTTACATACATTAGAAGAGGAGTTCATCTGGTTTCCAAAAACAAAACCACAGTCTTTCTCAAAGGAAACTATTTATTACCAAGCTGTACTTGTTCTTTAAAGTAATTTTTTTCAGTATAAAAATTGATCTTTTTAGCCTTGCAGTTGCTTTCTGTATGTAATCACTCTTGCCCTATGTTAGTACATTTAAGTGTTATTAACCAATTCTGGTATTTCTACACTGTACAGCAGAACAGAAAGGCATTATTTACTGGGGCCAGTAGTAAGAATTTCATGTGTATATTTTCTACTAAAAGAATAGCTTGACTTTGGGATGCTGAGCTTGAGTATCCCTGATACACAGGGAAACAAATCTCTTTCCCTTTAGTGTTAGAGCTTCCCAAGATTCCTGTCAACTTAGTCAGTTCTAGCACCATTCCACTGGGAGAAGATAAAAGAATATTCCATGGCAATTTTTCCCTTTTAGAGTGCTAATTGTAAAATTTGGTGCTGTTTTTCTTAGAAATGTAATAATTTCATATTTGAAAGTGAATATTCAGAAACAAGTATCTTTTAAATTGTTTACTTAAAATGTTAAAATAAAGTTCCATTAAAATGAGCTTGGATTGAATGAACTCCTTTAGAGCCTTTTAATCATAATGCCTAGTTACTTAATGTCATTAATTGCAAAGCTATTCTAATGGGAAGAACTAGCAGTGGTCTCACATAATCATTTCAGGGGTTGCTGGTAGACAGGAAAGCTGCAAAGGTAAGGGAAAAGAAGTCTCCTCATTTAAAAACTTTATTAGTATTAAAATTCTGTGTATGTGATGCTTTTGCTTCAGAATTTTCCAAAACCAGGAAATCAAACAATCGCATTAAAAGTGATGTTAAAATGTTATGAACTAGCAGCCATGTTGTTATCCTGATATTTTCAGGTGCTCCAAAATGATGTACTAGCTCATCAGTCCACAGTGGAAGCTGTTAATAAAGCAGGAAATGATCTAATTGAATCAAGTGCTGGAGAAGAAGCAAGCAGCCTTCAGAGCAAACTGGAGGTTTTAAATCAACGCTGGCAAAATGTTTTGGAAAAAACAGAACAAAGGAAGCAGCAGCTGGATGGTGCCTTGCGCCAGGTAAATAAGAGAATGCATTCTGAAATTTTCTATAGCCTTCAAAACCAAATTAGCATGGAATTCTTTCATTGGCTTACAGGCCCCTGCTTAATTTTTCTACCTCAAGGAGAAGAGTAAAAATAAGTGGGATAAAGAAGAGAGCTGGTGAGAACATAGCTCCCTAGTTCTTAGTGTAATAGCCTTATCTAGTAGCACTCTCCTGAAGAAGAAATGCAAGGCCAACCTGGGGGCACCTGGCTGTTCTTAAGAATTCATAAAGAGCTTAGCAGTCTGGATTGTTTAAACCTTGTTTTCTGCTGGGAAGTGACAGTGTTTATGGCCCAAACTCAAAACTCTCTGTCACTCTAGGCCAAAGGGTTTCACGGCGAAATTGAGGATTTGCAGCAGTGGCTGACCGACACAGAGCGCCATCTGTTAGCATCTAAACCCCTGGGAGGTTTGCCAGAAACGGCCAGGGAGCAGCTCAATGCCCACATGGTAAGTGTGTTATTTCCCACAGCTCTGGCATCAGAGTAAGAAACTGATCGTTTCGTATGGGCCCTGGTGATAAATAAATAGTGGCAGAGGGTTTAAAGGATATACAGTTTCATAGCAGAAATCTCCCTGTGTAAGTGCTAGAATTGCCATTTATTGATTAAAATTTTCAAGTCAGAAACTATTTTTTATTTCAAAGGTTAGTGTGTCAGTATATGAGAAGAGGTTTTAGAAGTCTAGACATTTTTTGAAAGTATACCTTCTCCCATAAAATGATAAACTAGTGTGGGTAAGTAATAAACATTGCATGAGTAAAAAACTTGCTTTTCGAATGATAAGAAAAATCCCTAAAGTAGTCAGAGTTGACCTTAAAAATATTGCTGTAATCATTTTATTTCCACCTTGTTTCCTAGGAGGCTGGAAAATATGTTTTTGTTCTGTTAAAACAAAGTTATTCATGTATTTCAATGGTGATAGGGCTGTATCTTCAGCTTCACACCTATACCAGACATGGACGAGAGGAAGCTTCTGTCCGATCATCCAGTCTGAAGCCTTCTGCCTGTGGGCAGTTCCCACCCAGACTCGGTGGCACTGGCAGCTCTGAAGGACAGGGAGGAAAACGCGATTAAACTTGAGGGTCTGGCTTTCTTTCACAGATACATGGACTGACAAATTAAATTTAGACTGCTTTGGATTTATTGACATTTTTTATTCATTTCCTATTAATAATTCAACTCTAAAAGTTCTAAGAGAAAACAGTCTGTTTTAAATTTTGAAAACTAATCCTCTAATTTTTACACTTGTGAATTTGCATCAGGAATTCATTTTAATATTCAAATGCTGATAATTAAATGCTTATGAAATAAAAATAGAAGTATTTAGAGATTTGACGAAAGAAATGGGCCACTGCACATTAAAGTCTATATCCTTTAGCACAGGCCTAATGTTGTGAGAGCCTCTTCAGACTGTAGTTATTTGGAAACTATTTTGAGTTTGGTGATTTGGAGAGGAAGTAGGCATTTGTAGGTATTGTGAAGAAACACAACAGAATTAATATCTTAGTCACCTCACGATTGCCATGAGCATTTAAAATAAATCTTATTAGTCCTGTATGGAATTTTCTAGAAAACTTTACTGTATATTCATTATTTTAGAAAATCATTGTGTTTGTGGTTTTTGTTGTTTTTACTGTTGTATTAGATTGTGTTTTTGTGTGTGCCACTAGGGACCGTTTGTTCAATGAAAAAGTAATTGACTAAATAATAACTTGGGAGTGTTTATCTTTTCCATAAAACCTGACTGACTTCCAGAGATTTCTTTACTTTTCTGGAAGTATCTACATAGCTATTATAGTGTTCATTAAATATAAGTTTAATGAATTCTTGAGCAAACGTGCCTGAGATTAATTTCTAAAAATAAATATTTAAAAAATGTTAATTTAGAAGCATATAAGTAAAAAAAGAGAAGAAAGCAAAGAGTTTATCTTTAGGATATTTTACTTTTAGAAAAATGTTAGGTATTAGCTTATGTGGTGTGGGTAAGATGTTTCAAATAAATTTGCTATAATCTGACATACTTTACCAGATTATAGAAATTCCAAGATTTAAAGAATTTTAAAGAGTTATTGATATTTATAATACATTTTTAGTCATATTCTTTTGATTTGGTTATATTAGAATTGAAAGAAACCAGAAAACCTAGAATATTACAGTTTTCTGAGATTTAGCTATGTTTAAAAATTTTGCTTTAGGACTAAAAGTTTTCAGTAATTGATTCTGTAAATATCTTTAAAAAGGGTTTTTATGGCTTAAGAAATTTTAAAGTTTTCAGGCAATGAAAATGTTCTGGAGTTATAGTGATAGTTGCACATCCTTGTAATATATTAGTAAAACACTGAATTCTACACTTTAATATGGGTGAATTCTTTGAACTACATTTTACTTTTAAAATACAAAGTTGAAAATGTTAGACATAGACTATATACTTTTTCAGTGGGAGCAATGATTTGACTCACATTATAATTGAATCAGTGGACTAGAACAAGTCTTAATTTTTTATATGAATGCAACTCTTGTTTCATTGACTTTAAATGCAAATCTGTTTAAGTAGTATTTTTTATATTCTCTATAGAAAAGATATACACTGCATTCTAGCGGAAAGCTTTAAAAATGTTATAATTAGAAAAATATTTTCACAGTACTACATACAGGTTTGTCTTTTGTGATTCCGAAGACTGAATGATCAACTTAACTATACTGGGTCTTTACTTTCTGTACACTGGGTGTCTTCTGAGCCCCAATTTAATTATACAAAAAATATGACAGTCATTGTATTACATAGTTTGGGGAGAGACTTAGGGCCTGCTTTACAAGGGAGAAAATTGAGGCTCAGGGAGGTTAAGTTACTTACCCAAGGTCATAGAGCTGATTGATTACTGTACAGTGAAGGCTTTCTTGATACAATAACATTTAAAATATTGCTTCACAAACCTTTTCATGATGATAGCAGCATTTCTGAGATTCTTCAGTAGACAGGGTATGGCCATAGGTTCAAATGTTGTTTCAATACAGTGAAAAGCTCAAATGTGTCAGAGTCATTCTCTATGCTGGATAGAGTTGAATATGTGATAAGGGACTTGGGATTGATGATCTGGAATAAGAACTCTTAGATCGTATTCTCTTAAAAATGATATAATGTGGGGGTATCTCAATTTAGGAAATCTGTGCTGCCTTTGCTGTTAAAGAAGAAACGTATAGGAGTCTGATGCAGAAGGGCCAACAGATGCTTGCAAGATGCCCCGAATCTGCAGAGACAAATATTGACCAAGACATAAATAACTTGAAAGAAAAATGGGAATCGGTGGAAACCAAACTCAATGAAAGGAAAGTATGTGCCTTGATTAATATAATGGAATGAATGTTTTAGTTGTTTCATTTCATGAGTCTTACCTTATCTCTGAGTAGCATGCTCAGCGGAACTTTTACTGGTTTGTGTTTGAATTTTCTTTGTATACATTAGGAAGTTTTGTGGGGGTCAGATGAAAACAATACTCCTTCTTTACATAGAAGGATAGAGTTAAAATAATCTATACAAACATAGATAACGGTATAGCATAGATCACTTACTGGTTATATATTTAAATTTGTGAACCACTGGAATTCTGGATTGTTAAATAATTCTACCCTAATCATACTTATTAAGCAAAAGGGAATATGTAGGGAGAAGGAGAGAGGGAGATCAAGAGAATGAGATAACTGTCTCTATATAATAATCACTTACATAACAAAAATCCATAAGATGGGATTAAAAATATTACTGTTTAATGCTATAAGAAAAATTATTGGATGGGAATAGTAGATTGCATGCCCTCACTGACACATCCTAAATGTGTTTCTTAGTATCGCAGTCCCAAAATTAGTTGTGTGACTGTCAAGCATTCTTGTACAGATTCTTTTTAGTAATTGGGTTCTGTGGTTAACTGCCCCCAAACCACAATTTGATGTATATTAAAATGTCTTTAGCTGGAGTGAGATGCTTCTTACTATACTTCAAGGGATTTGGTTTGGCAGTATCTTAGTGAAGACCCATTACATTCATAAACCGTTTAGGTAATGGAGCTTGTGCATATATAAAGTATAGATGGGAAGGAAATATGCCAGAGAGTGGTTTAGCTGGGCGGGTAAAAAACTCTCAAATATCATCAAATACTAAATCATCTTTCTTCACAGATTAAACTGGAAGAAGCCCTCAACTTGGCAATGGAGTTCCACAATTCTCTCCAAGACTTCATCAACTGGCTCACCCAGGCTGAGCAGACCCTGAACGTAGCTTCTCGGCCAAGTCTTATCCTGGACACAGTCTTATTTCAAATTGATGAACACAAGGTATGCTGAAACTCAGATGGATAGCACTCCGATTTCATACCTTTGTTGACAGCAGGCTGTTTTAATGTCAAAAGCATGAATTTGATAGTTTGAAAACTTTCTTTTATCTTTTGAAATAGTTTCTGCTTATGACACCAGAAGCATTTTCAAGCTAGATTAGTTTCTAATTTTACCTTTTCTTATGAAAGGTCTTTGCCAATGAAGTCAATTCTCACCGTGAGCAGATAATAGAGCTGGATAAAACTGGAACCCACCTGAAATATTTTAGCCAGAAACAAGATGTTGTCCTCATTAAGAATCTACTTATCAGTGTACAAAGCCGATGGGAAAAAGTGGTTCAACGGTTAGTAGAAAGAGGAAGATCTTTGGATGAAGCAAGGAAGAGGGCCAAGCAGGTAAACCTTCATACAAATTCTCTGAACTTGGCAATGAATCAGTTCTAGCTGTTGAAATACATGTTATGTTAGTAAAGTACTTTTATCGCAGACTATCCTAGGTGTAACAACCCTGGCACGAAGCCAAGGTGTCTGTTTCCTAAGACAGTGGCCTAAATTGGGATGAGGACATCACTTTTTGACCTGGCAGCAACATCAGGCCCCGGGGGACTATTCCTGAAAAGCCTGGTTATAGCTTGACTTCATAGATGGACCATTATCATAAGGCCCCAAAAGAGGCTCCAAATTTTTGTTCCTGGGTTTGCTTTGCTTTTTTTTCTCTGTCCTTTCAGCCCCCACTCTCATATTCAGAGTGAGACATCATACTTTATTATATTACTACCTTTTGTTTAGTTCCTAAGCCAAACTTTCTTCAAATGTCAGAGCAGAGCGCCAGACAGCCTCCTGGCCAGCTTTCTGAAAGGGTGTGTTCTGTGTCTGAGTCGTTCAGACTCCTCTCCACTCTGACTCCATATACTTGCTGGCAAGCCTTAACCTCTTTTCTAATATTTTGATACAGGTCCATCCCACTTTTAAATTGTTTGAATCTTTTGGGGCTGCTTTTAAAAAAATCTAGAAACACAAGAACTTGCCTTATTTCCTTCACTTGTTATTAATATTCTATTCTAGACTAAACACAGAGAAAAAGTAAAATTACATGTCTCTATTCTCCAGAGAAGACAAAGATGCACCCACCTTGCTTGGCATGTATCTTTGATTTTTACTAGAAACTAGAAAGTGTCATATTGAGCCTGGATCTTATGACTCCTTCTGTCCCATTTAGTTGCATTTGTCTGTCCGTGGTGCCGGACTCCACTGTTTTGGGGAGCTAGGCTCAGTTGGGTGATAAGAAGGTTTCCTGGGAGTCTAGTGTTTCAGTATTTAAAGCTATCAGCATAAGCTTTTAAAGTCTTTAGGAATGACAAATTGCACTGTTATAGGATTACAAGCCCTATATCCCTTTGTGAGTGGGAGGTATGATGTATGCAGTGTTAGAAGTGAGTCTCTGGAATGGAACTGGTCTGTAATGATTTCATAAGACAGTACTAATGCTGAGCCGGACATTTTTCTCTCCAGATATATAACAGTGTCATCTGCAGTGTAGGCTTTTATGAATTATGAACATCTAGCTTATAAAAGCCTCTTGGCTGCCAGAAGGCCAGTTGCCCACCCTCTTCCCCCTTCTCCATTTAATCAATTTTATCTTCTCAATTTGGTTAATTAACTTTAAAAGGATTTTCTACCAGTCTCAGTAGAAAAGTATAGCATTTCTTGTGTTTGAATGACTTAAACATGGTTGTGAAAGTAGGAGAAACCTTAGGACCTGTGTGTTTATACCATCCAGCTCCGCATCTCACTGTTACAGCCAAGGTTATTTGTAGTCAGAGTACCTAAGACCATGGCTAGCTGTATGTTTATCTGTTTTTATTCTAGTATCTGAGTTTTTCACTCACATATCGACCATAGTTGTCTGACTTTGACAACGTATGTTCCTGTTCTGGCCTCCCTGTTTTCTTGTTTAAATGGATTAGAACCTCGGGAGGGGCGCGTGGGGAGAGCAGGCACTGAGGAGATGGGCCCAGTGGGCCCTTGCAGCTCCGTGACTCTGTGCTCTTACTGTGCCGTTTTTGTAAGAAGTGTCTTTCTGTTATTTCATTATTGAATGAGAATAATGAAATAACAGATATAAAACACATTTATTTTGATTACTTAAGATTTTGCTCTGTATCTGTTCACTTGAGTTTTGATATAAAACACTTTTATTTTGATTACTTAAGATTTTCCTCTGTATCTGTTCACTTGAGTTTATTATGAGAAATAATGTATAACCATTTTCACAATTTGATCTCCAAAAATAGTACCCACTAGTTAAAGTACCCAATGATAAACAGAAAGTAGACTGTGGGTGAAATTAAATATATGTAGCACCAGACTTTTTCAAAATTGTAGTTGACAAAGAGAATTATATTTAGTTAGAACTCAAGTGTTGTACACACTTCTTACATATTTAACCAATATATGAGGCACGGGAATTAATTTGAGGATTTTGATAGCAACAATAAAGATGTTAGCTGATCTTCATATAAAATAGGAACAAAATGACCCCTTTTCATTCTTGATACTTCATGAAGAAAGCCATTTTGCACACTTTTTCTTCTCTATCCCATTTCGTTCCTTCTCTTAATGTAAGAATTAAACACCAAGAAGTCAACCCAGATTCGTCAAGAGAGAGCAGGAAGCAAATACAGCTCTCCCAGAGTTGGTGTTAATTATTACACAAAAGAAAGGGAGTCCTCCCTGGTGCTCCCTAACATTTCTATCTTTATTAAACTTTATGTGCTTGAGCGAATTATAACCAAGTGAGCAAGGGACAAGGACCATAAAAGCCAAGTGTTAACAAGAGAGTCTGTAAGCTGCTGATGAAACTACTACTTTTTTCTACTTCAAGGGAAATGTTGAATTAGTGAATTTCAACATTTCATTAACATTAATTTTTATTTTAAATAAATAGTAGATTTTAAATATAGTGAGTATGCCAGAAAATTTTCAGCACACAATGTGAATTTCTTTACAGTTCCATGAAGCTTGGAGTAAACTCATGGAGTGGCTGGAAGAGTCAGAAAAGTCTCTGGATTCCGAACTGGAAATTGCCAATGATCCAGACAAAATAAAAACACAGCTCACGCAGCATAAGGTGGGTCTACAATTAAGAAAAGCATATGGTGTCTTTATACGTACTTCAGGCTCACTTGATCAAATTCTTATTTGATTATGTATTTTTTCATCACTCAAGTAAGGTTGATCAATGCAAAGTACATGAAATTGAAAACCAGTTGCCCTTCACATTGGTGAGGTGGCAGTAGCATCTTTACTCTCCAGGGACCATTCCATTATGATCCAGAGTTAATTGGTAAAACAGAAAATTAAAACTAGAAGTCTTCTACAATCTAAAACATATAAAGGATTTGTAGGAGTCCATTGGTGATTCAAGTTTTAACCATTGTCTTGTCTTGTACTTTCTTTCATAGGCCATGCAGAAGATAATTCTATAGTAAAAAGTAGTATACATTTTCTCATATAGGTTCTTTTTAACAGTGCATTGGGGAAAATCGTTTTTTTTTCTGCCTAAATTGGCATTTTATTGTATATATGTGGGAATATGAAATTCTATCCTTACCCTCAACCATAGTGGTTTCTTCTATTGATTAGAAGATATAGGCACATCACATTTTGTATTTTCTACCTCTTCTACCATGCCTACTGCATGCCTACCATGCCTACTACATGCCTACCATACCTACTACATGGCATTTCCCCAATCTCCTCCAATCTATTGTATTTGGGTCTCTGTAATTCTGTTTGACCATCAGCACTCAGAGGGAGGGTGTGGGCAAAAGGAAAATGGCTCTTGCCAGTAGTTTGACAGCTTAGGCATCTATAAATAACTCACTGCTTTAACAGTGGTAATTTATAAAAGGCTGGAAAAAACCGAGATGATGTAAGGTCCTCATCAGAAAATTCTGGCCACCATCTTCACTTAGGTTGGTTGCTTCCACTGGGAAGCTAAGTGACCTCAGAGGGTCATGATCCTGGGGTGATGGAAGCAAACCTATTGAGCATCTGTTTTTGTCTGGATGAGAGCTTATGAGTGGCTCATTTTGCTGCCACCCTGTGTCCCTGGGCTGCCACATCGAACATTGGCAGCACAGTGACAGTGAGCAGTACCTTCCTTCCTTCCCCTCTGATGGAAAAATGACAGCCTCCTTCTCAAAATAGAATGTCTTATTTGAACTTGATCGTAGATGTTGTGCCATGTAGTCTTATGAAAGTATGCTGAATATTTAAATTTGAAAATTCTAGTAATAAGGATATGCAAGGAACCCTGTTAAATTCTGTATTTTCTCTAGTGCAGCTTACTGCCAGTTACTATTTCTGAGATACACGGTACATTCAGCCATTTTTTATAGTATATTTTATTTCTTACGTCATTACAGTTGTCCTAATATTTTCCCCTTTGCTCCCTCTGCCAGGTACCCCCACTCCCTCGAACAATCGCCACCCTTAGTTCATGCTCATGGGTTGTGCATATGAGTTCTTTGGCTTCTCCATATCCTATGCTTTTCTTTACATCCCCCTGTCTGTTTTGTACCTACCATGTAGGCTTCTTATTCCCTGCACCCTTTTCTCCCCCTCCCTGCTGATAACCCTCCATGTGATCTCCATTTCTGTAATTCTGTACCTGTTCTATTTGTTCACATAGTTTGTTTTTGTTTTTTAGATTCAGTTGTTGATAGTTGTTTGTTGTCATTTTACTGTTTATAGTTTCGATCTTCTTCTTTGTCATAGATAAGTCCCTTTAACATTTTATATAATAAGGGCTTAGTGATGACAAATTCCATTTAACCAATTTTAAAAGAAGTCCTTTGTGTTCATTATTTAAAAAGTATTAACTTACCTTGTATTCAGCTATAACATTTATTAAGTATCTGCAATGTGAAGAAGATCTATCAATACCACGGTTATAAAACTAATATCCTGTTTAGAATAACATGAAAAAATTATATCTACAGAAAACGAACTGCAAAAGTAGCATGATATTGTAATGGTGTTCATTGCTAAAAAATTCCCAGATGTAGTTGTCTTGTGTTAGAGGACAAAATAAATATCTTAGTCATTATAAGACATTTAAGGTGTCTCACTTTTAAAAGCAATAAAAACTTATTAAGTAATTGTAACTGGGGTTATTTTGGAAGATTACTACATTTGCATAGCACTTTACTCTCTGGGGTGATTCTAACTAATGTCCTTCCAGGACTGAGAATCACTGTATGTGTTCCCATTTTTGTATTTGAGCTTATAGGCTGCCTATTAAGTTGACCTCTTCCCATCCCTGGGGTTATATTATATATGCAACAGCAGTTGTCCCATTCTTTCTATTACATAGTTATAAACACACATAGAATATAATCTGATAGTGAGGAGCCTACAAAGACAATATCCCTGCTCCAGACAGGCGTGTAATTGAGTTGTGTAGAAAGTAGAATACGCCCCTCCCACACATATACACACAAATGTGAAGATTAACAATGTAAGAAGTAACAAAGCATAGATTTCATGTTAGCAGTATAGCTTTTTGGTACTTAGAAGAGTAATCCTTGGATCTTTCAGACTTCATAGGTCATCACAGAGGTGGAGAGGAGGGTGCAGACCTCCCAAGTGGTGCGAATAGAATGACCAGTAGGTCCAAACATAGAGGTCTATAGATGTGGTTCTTATTTGTCCCTCATCCTAGTTCACAGATGAAATTACACGTAACATTATTGTGACTATCAAAAATAAATCTGTTTGACAAAAAAAAAGTAAAATTTTACATTATTTAGACACTCTGTGTCCTTATTGGACCTGTGGTTTCTCATAGAATGTCAATTTTTCCTTAAGCCACAGGATTTTCAGTAGTTTATTAGCAATTCCATCTTATCATAACTGTTTGTGGTTTATAGCTACAGAACATTCAGAATTTCTTTGTTTTGAAATTATTTTCTTGACCATAGCAGGTGCTTGTGGAGACACCTGGCTTCTGAGAAAAGTGAAACCTTCAATTTGAAAATGTGAAGACCCTTTTTTACCCTGATGCTTTCCTATGCAGAGTCCAGCACTATACTGTGTGACTCGATTGTTCGCTGATGTCTTCTCGTTAGGTCCCATCTGTTAGAGATGCCTCTTTTCATGTCTCTTACCTATTTGTTTGTTAGTCCCAAGTATACATGCACATCGTTGTCTTGTATGTGTAGGAGTTTCAGAAATCGCTCGGAGCCAAGCATTCTGTCTACGACACCACCAACAGAACTGGACGTTCTCTGAAGGAGAAAACCTCCCTGGCTGATGACAACCTGAAACTGGATGACATGCTGAGTGAACTGAGAGACAAATGGGACACTATCTGTGGGAAATCTGTGGAGAGGTAAAATGTTCTGTAAGGCAGTTGGGTTACTTTGTCGGACCTCTTTCAGATACACAAGCACCATGCATTTTAGGAAGCTTAAGTGTGTCCTTTGCCTGGGGAACTTCTGCGGGTCCTTAGTTCCCCTTGTACATACTTCCTGCACCAAGAAGGCTTTGCTGTTCATTATCATTTGTTTTCGCGTACCCAGTTCACTCGAAAGTGAGACTATTCTGCAAACTTCTGTCATCTCACACTTACTACAGCAATTATCTTCTGACTGGTCTCCCTGGGTCTGCTATTGTCCTTAATCCAGTTTCTACATAACTACTAGGGTGGTCTTTTTCAAGTGGAAACGAAGCTTGCCATTCATTCCCCTGCTTCGTACCCCTTAGGGACTCAGCATTGGTGTGAACTAAAATATAGGCACTTTCTCTGCAAGGTCTACTGATCTGACCCCTGTGGTCTGCTCCAAATTCCATCTGCCCACTTCTATTCACATCTTTCTCATTATACTTCAACTGTGAAAGCCCAAAACTTATTTCAAAATTTTTAAGTATTTAAGAAGGAACAGTAGTATGAAAGAGTTCGAATATCTTTAAAATGTTTTCATAGTTTTTATTGATCCTTAGTCTAATTACTTTTGTGTCAGTATCAAGAGTAAATGGAATATTATATTTTACTCTAGGGAACTTTACAGTAAGTTGGTGTATGTATTTTTTATTTAAAAAATCTCCAATTTCAAAAGCTCATGTTTTTACACTGTCACGTAGTCAGGTAAATCATTTCTTTTGTATGACATTCTGGAAGAGACCAAAGATCAGCGAGGGCAGACAGATCTGTGAAAGCCGGGGCTGAGAGGTGGGGGCAGGCTGTGCCCATAAAGAGACAGCCCGGGGGAGATTTTCCAGGATGATGGAACTGTTCTGTGTCTTGATTATGATGATAGTTATGTGTATCACAGTTCACATAACTGTATACCTAAAGACCTTGGTTTTTGCTGTATGATAATTTAAAACAAAATTATAAAACTTTTGAGTTAAAAAGCACATTTTCATGAAGAAATGGAAGGGTCTGTGATCTCCAGGGGTAGTGATGAGAGAATTTTCCTGGAACAGATGCCATGTATCTAAGGAATAAAAGAGAAAATTTGAGAACAGTGTCATTATTTTCTGAAGGAAGCACAGAAACAGCAGTGAATACCAACATATATTTCTTTTGTCTTTTCAGTATGGCTTAAACTTCATAAATGAATTTTAGCTGTTGGGCTGCATAGGCTGGCTTTTTTTGTTTGTTTGTTTCTCAAATTGATTTTTTATCCTTTCCCCCCTCCCCACCAGACAAAACAAATTGGAGGAAGCTCTGTTATTTTCCGGACAATTCACAGATGCCCTGCAGGCCCTCATTGATTGGTTATACAGAGTTGAGCCCCAGCTGGCGGAAGACCAGCCTGTCCATGGAGACATCGATTTAGTGATGAATCTGATCGATAGCCACAAGGTATTGTTTACCTGGGACATTTTATTCATCTCATTTGATTATTCTGAGTATAGAAGAAACTGTCGCCACTTAGCCTTTGAAAATCCTAGAGATGGTATCTCAGACCACATCAGTCTTTAATAGCGAAATGCATGTACATTTGAGCAGAAGCAGGGAGCCAAGTTTAAAAACGATGTAGGAAAATTATTTTAGTATCAAAGAAATACTTTTGTGTTTAATTTTCCAGATTCAAGAGCTTTCAGAACTTGGAAAGTGATTTTATTCTGTGGTACTTTAGAACATGTTTCAAGAATGTTTTACTATGCTTTTTATTCATTTAAATAATTATGTAATATAATTTAAAATCATTCAGTCAGTGACCTGGAACTCGGTCACTGCGTAAATGCGCAGATTTGTGACATGATCTATGGGGGTCATGGTCAGCTGCTTTTTTTTTCTTTAACCGTTTTAACCTTGCCCCTTGAACTACAGCGATTTATGAGACAACAGCATATGCTGGAAGGGATTCAATTATTACTTCAAGAAAATTGGTTTCCTTGTAATCTCCGGATATGTATGTTAAACCATTGTGCAAACCAGAGGTCGTATGTGAGAACGCCATCCGTCACTGACTGTGCGGGGTCCTCAGTTCTGATCCAACGCTGGGTCACCACTGAGCCCTGAAAACAGCGTGAGGCGCGGCACTAGGTAGAATGGTTTTTATCAGCTGACTTTATATCAAGTGATATCTTACAGTGCTGCACCTGAATTCGTGCTGTATTTCCCCTCTATAATTTCTGGGTTCAGAAAATCTATTTTATTAAAAAATGTTCTCTTTGTACTTCCCTGGTTGTGCTATTTTGATCTTGTTCCTTTTTACATCGTCGGTCCTTTTGCATATTCAGTTCCCCTTTTCTTGTTCTGTTATCTCACTATAGCAGTAAAGGAGACTTGGTTATTTTGAATGTTAGAAGATAAAAGAATAGATAAAGAACATTGATCAGGCCTGCAAAAATTTAAAATTTTGAAAATTATGTTGATTTGCCTATATTAAAACAAATATTTTGTGCATGATGGATATAAACTTTTCCATTCCCTGGCTTTTATTCAATGAGTAATGAATAGTGTAATGTTCCTTTTTACATAAATACCATTTTTGTAAGCTCACTGTCTAAATATTTACTCCCCTAGGCACTTGCCAGGTTTTTTATATATTGAAGGTCATCAAGAATGAATTAATCATTCAGCATTAGTAATACAATTGGAAGACTCAAGAAGATGTTTAAGTATACAAAGTAAATTAGAAAGTCTGCTCAGAAATATTGGACTAGTCCTCTCACAGACAGAATGTTTAGATCCTGCACCGTCTGTGCATGTGTGTGCACGCACACATGTGTGCACGTGCGTCTGTCTGCAGGCACATCTCATTTAAAAGTGACGGAGTGAAATCACCAAAGAACTCATCATACTGTGTTTGCATTGGTTCTGAAGGGCTGTCTTTTATAAATGATCTAAGTATCAAAAGAGAAAGCCACGGATATAGCCACGGTTATAAAATGTGCTCGGTAATATTCATTTGTGACTTCTTTAGAAAAATAAGACAATTTTATTCCATACATAAAGCCAGTTATTTGAAAGACTTGGTTTCGTACACAGACTCTTGGATCAGAAGGAAAGAATCCTGGACTATTTCTTGGATCAAGACTGTGGCCAAAAGAAGCCAATCTAACTCCTGACACATCAGATTTCACCTGAATTAGATGGAAGAGAAACAGAAAAAGCTTCTCCTCCAAGATGACGAGGATTGAAGCCACTAAAATTCGACATTGTGGGTCATTAGTACTCAGGACATGTTATAGAATAAATGGACTACATGCCAGCCTCCATGAGATTTCCTGCCATTATACCTAAGGATCCCCATGAAGTACCCCAAGATTGCTTAGTTATTTGTTAGTCTCTTAGATCTGTTTACTAATTAAGAGGAGTTTGGTAGCCAGCACACAGATGGAACTCAGTAATGATTTGAGTGGAACCGAGGCACCATTTTAAAAAATCAGAGAAAAAAAGGAATTTGATGCATTATTTTGTGGAATTGAAATAATGAAGGGTGGCCACCATTATTTAAGACCAGTGAGTAATTAAAAAAAATAAGGTTGTTCACTGGAGAAGCTGTTAAAAGATTGAACCGATTTATACGAGACGGTCCTTTTTTTTTAAAGAACTTTTAATTTTATTTTTCAATTGAAGTTTACATTCGGTGTTATGTTGTATTAGTTTCAGGTGTACAGCATAGTGGTTAGACAATCACATACTTTACAGGGTGTCCCCCTCATATTTCCGGTACCCACCTGACACATACATGGTTACTGCAATGTCGTTGGCAGTATTCCCGAAGCTGTATGCACATTCCATGTGACTGTTTTGTAACTGCTTCTCAATGCCTTCGCCTTTGTCACCCACCCCCTGACCCCCCTCCCTTTGGCAACCACCAGTCCGCGCTCCATGTCTCAGACATAAGACTACTTCTGACAGTGCTGTGAAGGTGGCAATGGGTCATGTCTTTCGAAGACTGTGTGAAATGTCTGGGTCCTTCAACCACAGGGCTCGGGGATCTGTACGTGATGTTATTTCCACACGTATACTTCCAACTATGTTTTACTGTTTTGGTTTTGTAGTTAAAAATTAATTTCTATAAAAATACGGTTCTCTTAGGCCTTCCAAAAGGAACTGGGGAAGAGAACCAGCAGCGTGCAGGCCCTCAAGCGCTCAGCCCGAGAGCTCATAGAAGGCAGCCGAGACGACTCCTCCTGGGTCAAGGTCCAGATGCAGGAGTTAAGCACACGCTGGGAGACTGTGTGCGCGCTTTCGATATCAAAGCAAACACGATTAGAAGCAGCTCTGCGCCAGGTAATCGTCATGTAAATTGTAGCAGGGCATAGTGAGAGGGCATGAAGCCTCAGTAGGAACTGCTTTTGTGAAGAACGGAGAAGCTCCTCATTTCCCAACCAAGACAGCCGTGGAGAAGGGCGTTCTGATAGCATCACTGCCCTGGTCCTTCCCTCCAACCCCTCTCCACAAGACCTTAATTTACTACTGAGGGAGGTTTTCTAATCTTCATGTAAATGTGCTGCTTGAGTAATTTTTCAACTTGAAGGTATAAACGGGCTGCCATTCATCTAAAATCAGATTATTAAAATGGTGAGTTATTCTTCTCACATATAGGCCTTTTGATATATTAGATGTCTTCTTATATTTGTAAAAGGCAGCACCATATAGCTTTATCTTTTTATGGGGGTAATTCATTGAGTCAATTTAAATGTAAAACTTATTTTTATTAAGAGGAAGAATCTACTATACTAACAAGCATATTTGGGACTGTCGTGTGGGGTGCATGTGTGTGTGAACCTTTAGGCGGAGGAGTTCCACTCGGTGGTGCACGCCCTCTTGGAGTGGCTGGCTGAGGCGGAGCAAACCCTGCGTTTCCATGGAGTTCTCCCGGACGATGAGGATGCTCTTCGGACACTCATTGATCAGCATAAAGTGAGTTATATAAATGCCAAGTAAAACTAAGTGAGAAAATCAGACAAAGTAAAGAAAATAGACTTGTCCCTGCAAATATCAACTGCTTGAATATTTTCCTTCTTCAGAACTAATTAAAGATCTGGTGCATTTGAGAATTTACCTGTGTTCTCGTTGTATGCACAGGTGTGTCCCTGTGCACCTGTACATAGGTATGTGTGGCTAGCTTTTTATGTTTTCTTGATAAAGAAGATGGTCGTTCTTCAAGTTGAGGAACGTGTATATGAAGGACCCACATGTAAGGACCGTGCGAGGGAGGGTTGAATGTGGGGGGGGGTGCCGCAGTGCAGGGGAAAATGGGGACAACTGCAATTGAACAATAATGAAAAATTTTTTTAAATGCAGAAAATCCAAACTAGGAAAAGAAAAGGTGGTTATTCTAAAATTAGTCACTTGGTTTCCTGTCTTTGGGAAGCTCATTGATTTTTCTAGGGGTTATTTGGCTCCTGACCAAAATTGGTCAATTTTGTTGCACTTTAATGTGCATTTCAAAGATAAAACTTCCTTAGTAAATAGTTTGGTGTAGTCACATGATTGGAATTAGAAATTAATAACTTTGACTTTCAAGACAAGCAAGTAATGTAATAATTAATTGGTCTGCAAATTTTATTTTTAAGCCTTTGTCAATTCTGTTTTTAATCAAGAGCCACCTTATATTCTTTTGAGGAGTAACTGTAGTACAAATTATAAGTCGATAAATGAATTATATAAGTAGGCATACTATTAAGTAAGTAAAAATCTGGCCATTGAGTTTTAGATCAAGGTGTTTCTTGTGATAATGCATTGAAATAGCAGAACACGGAAGAGAGTGATTCAGATAGATCTTAACAGATTCTTTTTAAAGCTTTAACTCTAAATATCAGGAACTTGCAATGCTAACACTCAGTGTAGTATTACTGTCAGGGTCCCTGTTAACTTGAAAGGATCTGTTTGACCACTGGGTAACCTCGTCTTTCAGGGTCAAGTTAGAAATACGTCAGTAATTCCAGCGTAGCATGGATTACATCATCTATGGAGTCTTCTTACTTTAATTACAATGCTTTCTCAATAACGGGTTGTGTGACCTATGGCAATGAAACACTGCCTTGTCACTAAGGGAAGTGATGTGATCCGGCATGACATTATCTGGAGGAATGAAATGCTTCCTGCGCCATGTAAAGTTGAAGCTAGAATGCAAGAGTAGGAAAGTTACATCAAATTTATTGTAAATATTTTATTCAGTCCTGTATTTTGAAAACCCAGGTTATACAGGGTCTGCCATAAGTAACACCTCATGAATGTAATTGGTAGGCTAATAATATGGGAGTAATAATTTATAGTTTTAATTTGAACATTTCACCTAAAATGTCATATGGTGTACTTGAGAGTGACATTGTAATGTTAGAGAATTCCATGCTTATGACTTTGTAATAAAAGATTTTGTAATAAAAAAAGGGGCATTATTTGTGCCAGTCCCTGTATTATATTACTGTAGGCTGACCGGTACCCCAACCTGCTCAGTCCTGGGTCTCAGAGGAGCCCCTCCCAGCCCAGGGTTCAGATCTATCCCCTCCCCGCCACGGAAATGAGTCCACTTGTGGTCTCACCACCTGCACAGCAGGACCAGAAAACCCCCGGAACCACCAGGAGGCAGGTATCCAGAGCAGTGGTAATGGCTCATATAAAAATAGTAGGTCCTCCAGTAATGTCATTTTGTTACAATATTGATGAGATGCTATAGGAACTTAACTTTTGTTTGCATCAATTAGCGTATGATAAAATCAGTTGTTTTTACTTAAAGTTGCAGAATCTATTGACAATGTTAAATCAGGACTTACTGTAATTACCTTTAAACTTTTTAAAATAATATAAGCTATTTAAAAAACATAAGTTTATAAAGAGCTTCTTAGTAATGATATTTAACAGTAACATTACTCATTCTTTTTCAGTTCCTCTGCTTCCCTTCACACATTCACCAGCGGGGGGGGGGGGGTGCGGGGGACAAGAGTATCAGCCCCAGGAGTGGAGCCTGCTCAGCACATTTCACTCTCTAAAAATGGGCGTGTGTCCCCATGTGAGCACAAACCACGAAAGTAGCACTCAGGTGACAGCGGAAGAGCAGAGAACACAGTGGGGAGCTGCCTGCCAGTCCCCAGTGTTCAGCAGCCCCAGACTCTTCCAGGTGTCGAAGTGATTAAAAGTGCATGATCAGGTCAGCTGGCCTCTGGAAAAGCACAGCTGTTGTTGACCTTCCTAGTGAAGGGTTTTTTTTTTCTTTCATTTAAGGGGATATATATTGAGGGAAATTACAATATTTTTAAAAGTGGGTCATGATATTTAAAAAAGTAGGTCACATTAGTGGAGTATATTACTAATTGAACCTTGACTCCACAGCAGTAAAAGTGTGTAAATAAAAGGCGAAAAAAGCATTTATTCAATCACAAAGACCCAAAATGGAATAAGGCACAGACTTTTGATCATGTGGACCTTAAACTCTAGTAGATAAGTATGTAAACAAACTATGTTAGCATAGCAAACCTCTAGCAGGAAGCACAAGACAGAGCTGCTTCATGGAGGCTCACAGGGTCACTAGACTCTGTGGTCAACACCCGGTTTCACAGGATCGCCCCTGCTCAGAGGACATGAGTGCCCGCTGTGTTTGCAGCCTCCGGGGCCCCCTGACACTGTGATCCAGGAATCCTTTTTTCCCTTTTTTAAAGATTTTATTTTATTTATTTATGTTTAGAGAGAGGGGAAGAGAAGGAGAAAGAGAGAGAGAGAAACATCAATGTGGGTTGCCTCTCACACGCCCCCTACTGAGGACCTGGCCCACAACCCACGCATGTGCCTGAGACTGGGAATTGAACCGGCGACCCTTTGGTTCATGGCCTTTGCTCAGTCTACTGAGCTACCCCAGCCAGGACTCAAGGAATACCTCCTAGTGTGGGGGTCTAGATAGACTGGGGTGTCTGTGGGTTCTTGAAATTCAGTGTATGGTTTGGGAAGCATTTCAGCTGTTTTGAGGTAAAGGACCTGATTTTTTAATGATGCTTGCAGAGTTCTATGATTCATGTATCTGTAGATACAGTTCTGGACATTTTGAGGCTTATCCGTCCTGCTGGGGTGGAGAGTGGCTCTCACTGGCCTTTGAATGAGAGGGGCAGTTCTCACACAGCTGGCCCGCTGTCCGGCCCACTCCCTCCTGCCTCCGCCTGCCTCCTTCCTGGTTGTACGTTTGTGCCGTCTCTCCCACACCCTCAGCCTTCTATAGTGCCTTGCCTGGCTCTTTCTTTCTTGTTTAGAACATGTTCCTATCTTTCCTGACACAGTGAATGCTATTTTAAATACTAACCTCCTTGTTTTGTTAGGTTATTTTGTTTCAGTCAATATTATTTCTGTGTTGGTAATACTGTCTCTCTCAATCCTACTCTCCATTAATAATGTAATTATAAAAATTAGGAGAGGATATTTCTTGCCTAGTATATTTTGTAAAGCATGGGATGCTATCCTATAATTTTTAAAAAATAGATATTAGAAAGTACAGGGTCTGGCAGAAGTAAGGCCTGCTGAGTGTGGATGGTAGGGTAATAATAAGGGTGTAATAATTTACAGTTTTAATTTGAACATTTCACCTAAAATGTCATATGGCGTGCTTGAGTCTGATATTGTTATGTTACAGAATTACATGCTTATGACTTTGTAATAAAAGATTTGGTAATAAAAAGGGCCATTATTTGTGCTGGACTCTGTATTTATTTTCTGCTTTGGGGCCTTCTCCTCCTTTAACTCCCTAATTCGTGGATTATTTCCAGCTGTGAACAAACCAGTGCAACTTCTTGTTTATTTGTTTAACTGACAGTCAAATGAGTGCCACTGGAGTTTTGTTTTCAGCCAGTGCTAGCAGCTAATTGAACTCTGTTTCTGCTGTAGGAATTCATGAAGAAACTGGAAGAAAAACGAGCGGCCCTCAACAAAGCGACCAGCATGGGGGATGCCGTTTTGGCCATCTGCCACCCCGACTCCATCACCACCATCAAGCACTGGATAACGATCATCCGGGCCAGGTTTGAGGAGGTCAGTGTGGTTCAGGGCTGCAGTAGCCTGGACAGTCAGGGGGGATGAGAACTTCAGCAGTTAAGGTGCACTTACGGCCATGCCAACACGAGGGCTCTGCAGAGAGACGTGTTCTTTAACATGCCCTTCCCATGTGTGTCACCTGTCTCTGAAGTCCTTCCTTCCTTTGTTCCCTTCCTCCCTCCCTCTTTCCCTCCCTCCCTTTCTTCCTTCCAGATTTTTTCGATCCTCACCTGAGAACATGCTTATTGATTTTTAGAGGGGAAGGGAGGGAGAGAGGGGGGTAGATAAAAATCTGTATGAGAGGTAAACATCAGTCAGCCGCCTTTCAACCTAGGTATGTACCCTGACTGGGAATCAAACCTGCAACCTTCCAGTTTACAGGATGACATTCCGACCAACGGAGCCACACCAGTCAGGGCAGTCCACTTTTCTTTAAACACTGAAAGCAGTTTTGCAGCCATGTCCCTGAAACTTGAAAAGGCACATACTTGCTTCACTGGATAACTTTCTGCCACTTCCACATTGTGTCTGCTGAATAATCCGGCAGTTGAATAGTATTTCACAGAAGCATAATATATGTTTGTAGACCGAATTGCGGTCTACAAACATTAATTCAATAATTGAATTAATTCTGTATTTAAGATCTTAGCTACTTTTATTTCTACTCTGCTCTACATGGAGTAAGCACATGTGATCCTTCAGAATGCATATTCAAATGCATGCTAGCAAAAGGAAAGCTGGACGGCTGACGTCCACCTCTGAACTTGATGACCTTCCTCAAGGGCTCCCATATCCTCCACCCGCTGGGTCTTGGCACCACTGAGGGGATCTAGAAAGGCTTCTAGCCCAAGTTCCTAGTTTACATGTACATTTTGTGTATTTTACATCAGTTGAATTACTCAGCAAAGTGGAAGAAATTCAGAGAACTTTGTTTCTCAAACAGGTGCTGGCCTGGGCGAAGCAACATCAGCAGAGATTAGCAGGCGCTCTGGCTGGGCTCATCGCTAAGCAGGAATTGTTGGAAGCTTTGCTGACATGGCTGCAGTGGGCTGAAACGACACTTAGTGAGAAGGACAAAGAAGCCATCCCCCAGGAAATTGAAGAGGTGAAAGCCCTCATTGCAGAACACCAGGTAAAATAAATGTCATTCTGAGCCCTGGCCTCCTCAGGTAGTGTCTTTCTTGCACTGCTCCGGTACCCAAAAGAGTGCTCTGTGCTTATTACCTTCCCTTCCTCAAACGCAGTCCTCAACCCCTTCCCACGGGTTTCTGGTCTGTCCTGTATATCCTGCCTGTTTTAATCTCTGAAATGATGGGCATCACCCTAACTCTCATTTGTTTGCTTGTTTACAAAGGGAAAGTTGTATTGGCTTAGTTGGTTAAACAGTTAACATTGCTATTATATTTTAATAAAAATAGAAATACCAGTGTCTGCAGTGGCCCTGTGCTGTCTCAGGCCATGCTCTCTGTGATCAGAGGTGTTAAAGTGAGTAGTTTTCCAGTGCGAAAAAGACTCCAGAAACGTGTCACTTTGCACTTTCACCCACCTCCTCCTTTCCTCATTGCTTTTTACCTCAGTCGCTGCTTTTGCCAAATATCCAGATACAGCAGTACTTATAATAGTAGTATTATTTATATAATCGACAATATCATTAATAATAATAAGCCTAAGGACATGAGATAAGAAATGTCCAGCTCGTTGAACCTTTTAAATGTAAACTTCAACCAAAACAACTTTTAGCCTCCTTGGCAAAGCACATTCATTGACAAAAATATATATATCCACATTTAATGTGGACACTTTTTGTCGCTGTATGTCACAGCCATCTTAAATGTTTTCCGTATGTAGGTGAAGTGTGGCACAAAAAGGTCTCAGGGACCACTGCAGGTAACTGGTTTCTTAGCAGACAGATGCTGCCTCTGAGACCCTTCAGGAAGAGGCCAGACACTGGGCCCTGGCTGGTGCACAGACAGGCTGTGTTGCTTCCAGCGGCCCCAGGTGTGGTGTTGAAGCGAAAACCAATTACCTTTGTGATGCCATAGTTACTTACCAGCTATAACCTTTTGCACTCTTTAGAAATTAGTAAATGCTGTGTTACGATGGTTTTGATTTATATCCCCTAGAGATAAAACTTGGTGGTTTGTTTTATAGAAACAATAGCATGGTCTTTTTTTTTCCTTTTGTTTTTAGTTCATTTCTGCAGGTGGCTTTCTCTGATATACTTGTATTTAATTGATATAATTTCTTTCGCTTCAGACCTTCATGGAAGAAATGACCAGAAAACAGCCTGATGTGGATAAAGTTACCAAGACCTACAAGAGGAGAACAGCTGACCCCTCCTCACTGCAGTCCCACATCCCCGTCTTGGATAAGGGGCGAGCAGGCAGTAAGCAGGGGCCGGTTTCTTTAAAACGAAGATGGCTAAGCAAGGAAGTTGTTTTTATTTTATTTTGATTTCTGGTTTGAAATTTGGGAGCAGCTGGTGGTTCTACATGAGTTCTCTATCACAGAAAGTTTTCTTGAAAGAACACATGGGCATACATTTTAGGCAACTTATTTAAAAATAAAGAAAAAGATCTGTCCAGGTCACAATATGTAAGTGTTTTGGCTTGAATTGTGTATCTTTTCGATTAGCTAGAAGAAATTGAAAAATAGGCATCAAGAACAGAAATCATCAGCCCCTTTGAATTGTCTCATTTTGCTTCTAGTATATAAAAGAACCTTAGGGTAGAATGTAACAGAAATGGCCAGGACCTGGATAAAGTTGTGACGTAACCGTTTAGTAGTGTCCAGGTATCCAATAGATTTTTTCCAAGTTCACATGACTTCAGTCTACCTTGACCCAATGAAGAGACATTAAAAAAAATAATAGCCAGCTTGGAGGTGATTTAAAAGAAGCACAATTTATACCATGCATTTTGTATATTTCTGAAAGGTGCCGTAACTTAAAAAATGGTCTGCAGTCTATTGTAATTACTATATTTCACAAGGAGGCAAGGTAACAAACTCTGGTGCAGAAGTCTGGAGACAGACTCCTTGGCTGTCCTCACCACTCACCAACTGGAAAATGTAACCTTGGACAAGTTACTCAAATTCTTTCTGTCTTGTCTCTCTGTCTCTCCACACCAACCCCCGCCTCGGCTCCCCTCCCTTCCTTCCTTCCCCTCTTTTTCTCTGAGCCTCAGTTTTCTGTAACAGGGGATAATTATAATCTGATGGGACTTTGGTGAGGAATAAATAAGCTAATACTCATGAAGCGCTTAGCTTACTTTCAGGCATATAGTTAAATACTCAGTAAATACTAGCTATTGATATTCTGGTATATGTAGAGCCCTCTGAGTTAGGAATTCCTGGCAAGGCCCAACTGGACAACAACTTCCCATGTGACCTTAGGCCAGTAATTCCTCTAGGCCACATTTAACTGTTCAGTTAAGTGAGAAAACTATATGGAGATCATTGTGCTGTGAAGTTTCAGAAACTTGTGAAAAATAGAGAGGGAGAGAGCATCAGTAAGGCAGGCAGCTGTGCTCTGAGACTATGTGGAAGTGTGTGTGGGGGTCCTAGCTTCCGCCCAGGTCCATGTACCCCATTTGATTGGCACTGGCAGATATCTTGCTCTGACTCTGATGAATGCCCAGTGTCTCTTGCCCTCGCTTACCCTCACCTCCCCCCCCCCCGATCTAGCCTTATTCTCCAAGAAGGGTTTATGTAACTGATTCCGAGCTACTCTTAACTACCCTGGGAGATTGATTTTATCACGCCTTAACAAAGAGGCAGATCACAGTATAATTCATTCTCATTGAAATCGCATGCATTTTAAGCTAAAAAATGTTTTAAGTGTACATTTATTGGGAGAGCTTTTCAGTGTTTGAATGCACCTGTTAAGATATATTTCTGTAATCTACATGGAAAGCGTATGATCCTTAATGCATAGAACAGACTTGCACCTTGACGTCAGGCACTGTCTGAACAGGGCACTTCTGTTTGTGATGCCCAGTAATGACGTGGATTTCAGAAGCCCGGGAACTGCCAACATAACCAAAGTTATATTTTAACAGGAAAACGCTTCCCAGCATCGAGCTTATATCCATCTGGGTCACAAACACAAATTGAAACCAAGAATCCCAGGGTCAACTTACTGATGAGCAAATGGCAGCAAGTCTGGCTCCTGGCGCTGGAAAGGAGGAGGAAGCTTAACGACGCCCTGGACAGACTGGAGGAGGTTAGAAAACTCACGCACATGCAGTGCCGTCTTGTGCCTCACTCTGTTCACCATAACACATGGCCAAAACCTTGATTTTTCAACTCTTCCGCAAATATTTTAGCAAACTCTTGCTATTGGAGTGCATGATTTACTTCTAAAACTAATACTAAAATATGTACGTTTTTGTGAAGTGGGGAACCCCTGATATTTAGAGCTGGGATTTAGGGAAGTAGTAAAGTGAAAAACTAATACATTTCAACGTAATCAGAAGCTAAGTCAAGAGAAGATCTAGCTTGACATGCATTTGTTTGGTGGTATTAAGTGGCAAATACAACCGTTTATAATTCAGATATTTTCATTATATATGTTCTTCGATCTCAGATTTAGAGTTGCAGATGGTGAAACTCGGAAATCGTTGGCAGTCTAGGGCGTTAGAGCAGCAGTGGCAGAGAGTGAGGAGTTGTGTCGTGCCTGTGGGCTGGGCTGCCACCGTGGGCACAGAGCTTCTTAGTGGTGTCACATTAGGGCACACCGCCACCTTTGCAATTTGGGCACTATCACAGATTCTCAGTTTGACATTTTTGGGGGGGTGCTTATTTTTTCCTGTATTTGTAAAGAAAAACCACAGTGGCCACAAGAACAAGCATGAAGCAAACTTTACAGAAAAAAAATTTTCTAGCTTCCCCTTTGCAAGATTATACTTTGAAGTAGGAAAGATGTCCTTACTAGAGGCTTATGAAAAGTAACCTTTTCATATAAGCTGAGCACAGCATTAATTAACTCGACCAAAATATCTTTTGCCCTTTTCAGCTGAGGGAATTTGCTAACTTTGATTTCGATATCTGGCGCAAAAAATACATGCGATGGATGAATCACAAGAAATCTCGGGTGATGGACTTCTTCAGGAGAATTGATAAAGATCAGGATGGGAAAATAACCCGACAAGAATTTATTGATGGCATTCTTTCCTCAAGTAAGTCCCAAGAGAAGTGACTGAAACTGATGTAATTTTTAAAGGAAATAAGCACAGTTTAAATTGTGGGGCCAGCAAACTTGTGTTGCCAATAATGCTTCACCTTTAAACCTGGCTGTGAAATCACCACTCTCAAAAGAAGTGTCTTTGGTATAATTTATGGCTGTGGATTCAGGCACACTGTAATAATTGTGTTACCACAGACAGATGCCTCACACCACCGAAGTAGTGTCCTCATCAGTACAGTAAACTTAATGATACTTGATTCTTAGATTGTTTGTGTTACTTGGCACAATGGGAAACCAGCAAGTTGGTCTCTTTGTCATTTTGATTGACATTCTGCTCTAACATCATCATCGGTAGGAAATTAGAACTCTGTGGTATAAACTTCTGAAGGTACGTGCCGTCCTCTTGTTTGGTGGTTCAGTCACGTGTCTGTGGAATCTCTGGCTCATGTTACTGGAAGTCATTCCTCAAATAAATTTCACATAAATGATTGCTTAAGTAGAGTGGTAGTTAAACCATTTGAAATTTGCTAATACTAAACAGTTTTCAACCTAGGAAAATAGCAATTTCAAATGATTTACCCTAGTAGTAATTAAAGATAAATTTAGGTCACATATACAGTGGTTTTCTTTGTTATTATGTAAGTCAGTTTTTTAAAAAGGATTTTAATACATTTGATAACCCTGATAAATTAATCTGCCACATTAAAATTAAAATGTACAACAAAGGCAGACTTAAGTTATACTTCTTACTATTTTTTAAAGACTTAAATCTTTTTTATAAAGTGTTATAGTAAGTAGCAGGTCTTACAAACTTTTAACTGGGACTGTTATATGGCTTATACTGATAGTATCTTAATTATTACTGATATGCGGAATCTAAATACAAAGTCAAACTCACAAAAACAGAGAAGAGGAGTGGTTGCCAGGGCCTGGGGGAAATAGAAGAGGTTGGTGAAAGGATACAGACTTTTAGCCCTGGCTGGTGTGGCTCAGTGGTTGAGTGCTGGCCTGCAAACCAACGAGTCGCTAGTTCAATTCCCAGTCAGGGCACATGCCTGGGTTTCGGGCCAGGTCCCAGTAGGGGCATGTGAGAGGCAACCACACATTGATGTTTCTCTCCTTCTCTTTCTCCCTCCCTTTCCCCTCTTCCTATTGGGGGAAAAAATAGAATACTTGCAGTTGTAAGATGAGTGAGCTCTGATGAGTAATATGGTGACTATACACAGTGGCTATAGTTGATAACACTGTGTTGTGTAATTGAAACTTGCTAAGAGAGTGGTGTCCTTAAATGTCCTCTCTCACACACACACACAAAAGACAGGTGAGGTGATAGATGTGTTAATTAACCAGATGGGAGGAATCCTTTCCCAATATGTACATACATGAAATCATTGCACTGTGTATTTTAACTATTGTACGACTTTGTCAGTTACGTCTCAGTCACACTGGGTTCTGTTGCTTTGAAAATGTCAGAGTTCCCAACCAGCCGCCTGGAGATGAGCGCAGTGGCGGACATCTTCGACAGGGACGGCGACGGGTACATCGACTACTACGAGTTTGTGGCCGCCCTGCACCCCAATAAAGATGCATACAAACCCGTCACTGACGCTGACAAAATCGAAGATGAGGTACTCGTCTCCTTTCCACTGCCCACGACAGCGATACTGTAGTGTGTCCTGGCCAGGGTATCACGCACAGTTCATGCAGCCCTGCTATTGTCGCGTTTAGCAGGTGTCGAGGTTTTAAGGGCCCACTCTGTAACACTGACATTAAAGCGGGTATGTCGTCGTTGTTTTTGGCAGGTGACGAGGCAGGTAGCTAAGTGTAAATGTGCAAAACGATTTCAAGTTGAACAGATTGGAGACAACAAATACAGGGTAAGTTTACCGAATAACTTTGTAGTTCTTTTAAATTGAGGTTTGTTTATAATTTGGTCTGCATTGTTTCCTGGGAGTGCTAGTTCCTTGTTTTTACCTCATATCAAAATGTAATGCTCTGTGAATTTCTAACTCTCATTTAAAATTATATAAACATAGCCTGCATTTTGTATATAAGGACATATCTTTGACATGCACAACATGTACATTACTTTTAAAAAGAAAAACATTCATAGAAAAACACATTTCTTATATTTACGTTGCTTCATGTTACTTTGTAATATATTTTATAATGATTAAAGGTAAGTTTTCATATTTCCAATAACAAAGCTATTCCAAGCCAGAATCACAAAGTTAAAAATGTTGACTAATTTTTATAAAACAAAAAAGAGGCAGTGTTTTCCACTTGTGCTGTAATTTTTTGTTTTATTCAAAATCTCAATAGCTTAGTTCAGCTTCCTCAAAACAATTACTTGAAGATGAGTGTGACTTCATCACTCTTTCTCCATTTTGGAACATCTCTTACATGTAGTAACATGATAAGAAATGGAGTGAATGTCCCTAATATAGTTTATTACTTAAAAACGAAACAATCATTTTTATTCTTATAGTTCCACATTTTAAAATAGTCATCTAAATATCTGAATTTTTAACTTAAATTTGAAACCCAAGGATTAAAAAAAAATGCATAGAAAATGCTCGGATTATTGGCTGTGCAGTTGGATACCTGCACATCTCTGAACTAGATGCGGTATCTGGAAGCCCCGCGTGTGAAGTGTGTGTGTGTTCTAGAGCCATGTAGAAAGTTTCCTGCTGAACTAATTGTATCTTTCTTCCATTTTTTTCATTTTTTTATCAGTTCTTCCTGGGAAATCAGGTATAATTCAGTGGAATGTATTCTCAAGTTCCCAATGATTTTTTTTTTTTTAACTTTAATTCATAGTCATTAAAGCTTGCCATGGCCAATCTTCCCCATGCTGCCCCCTAGCTACTACACTGTTGGTTGGCGTGGTGTTTCTGTAGACGCTGTAAGGGTCCTTGATCCAGGACTCCTTTTTGCCTTGTGTCTCAAATGAGGAGATTACTTTTAAGCAAACCAGATAATGAATTGTAGCTTGGCTGGTGACAGCATTAGAAATATAATTTTCAGTTCCCACTTTTGATAAATACTATTAGCAGATATTTTATGCCAGCACCCGTTGGTGCACACATCTGCACATGGCTTCTCAGGTGTTCACCACCGAGGACGTGTGGTAGGCAGAACCTACAGGAGCATCGCATGAGGCAGGGACACAAGACAGAATCCCGAGAGGTCTCTGTGGCACTCGGCCTCAAGGAACGTGTTCTCCCCAAAGCAGCTGTGGTCCATGTGTTCTAAATCATTAGTGTAGGGCTTTGCATCCTGTGGGTAGAAATTTTAACCCTGGGAGTTTTGAATGTTGTAATTCCTTGTGAGGAAATGTATCTCCTGTAACTTACAAAGTCTTACAGTCACATTTTATGCCATTTTGACCTCACATTTAAGTCAGTATTAACAGTTCAGTGGCACTGCACGTGATCAGAATTTGAGATCTAATAAGAGTAATCGTGTTTTGACTTAAAGGAGAAGAGTTGTTTACTCTGTGCTCTTAGAAAGAACTGGGCTATGCATAGTTCCTGACTACATCATATTAGTTATTACTCTGCCTCTCAGTTTTTAAGCCCATATTACTACATCTTCAGCTTCAAATTAGCTGTGATCCCCATTTATTCCATCCCATACTTATTTCAAATAGATCAGTTACTTTAAAGAGTTGTTTTTAAAACTTCTTGATATAATACATTTTGGGGATAGCATTTGAGATGTAGCAGCTTTTATTTTTAGAAAGGATAAAATACCTCAAAAAGTTTTCTTCATCGAAAGCACAAAGAACAGAATTAGCCTATTTTTTCTTGTCTCACAATTTGGCTCTTGGGAAAATTAGGGAAATTCTGAAGATAATGTTCATTGTCTAGATAATGCCATCTCAAAATAAATTCTAAAGTCATTCCTATTTATCAGAATTGAAATTTCATCTCTATAAAGTACTTCAGTTAGTTCCTTAAAACGTTTGTCTTGAATGTCATCATGGACCAAAAGTGTCTGGTCTAATTATCTGGTTACTTAAGGGTAATTTTCTTTAACTCCCCTCCTTTCCCTTTGCTTATTAGCAGCACCAAATTTTTTCTAACAAAATATATTTTGATTTTTACACTTTGATTACATTTCAGGAGCAGGTTCAATTGTAGGAAAGTTTAAATGTCAAGGCTAAAAAGTGGACTTAGAAATAGCAGTGTAAAAGGTTTGATGTAAAAGGCATGAGTTGCAGCCGGTGCCTCTTCCGTGCTCTACAGGTTCTTCTGAGTTTCGGGGTCTTGAATGTGGGCTTTGTGCTGGGGCCCGCTTCCTGAAACTCAGTGGTAAAGCTTATTGGAAAGGAGCAAATTGTCTGAAACTCAGTGGTAAAGCTTATTGGAAAGGAGCAAATTGTTTCTACTTAAATTTTTCTGTTTTTATCTATCATGAGCCCAGACCAATAGTCAAAGTCACAACAATATTCCACTTTCCCTAAAAAAACGAAGCTATTTTTGTTTAATCGAGTGTTCATTTTGCTATGGTATCTTCTGAGTTGGCAACCGTGAAATTCAATATGGTACTTTTTATGAGTTGGACATGAGCCTATTAGAAATGATTTAAAAGTATGAAATTATTTCTCATGGGCTTTCAAAACAAATAAACCTTATGATGAGAAACTCTGTATAGTCTAGACATTTATTCCAGACTTGCAGAATTTATAGCATTTCCAAGTGATTAGAGACCCATTGAAAGGGCAGGGGAGAACCGATTGCTTATTAATGTCAGCAGTTATGGTACAAACAGCTTTGAGAGAAAGCCTTTTCGATTTGAAAGCTGTGTCATTAATGTGCCCAAGACTGTTCTAATATTACAGCAATATAAAATGGCACATTAATCCAGTCTTTAACAAATTGTTTTACCAGATTATTAGTGATGCAGAAATTTTATTTGACTATGACATTTTTATTGGTCATATTCACTTACAACTTTATCTCCCTGATAGTTTAGGAAGATTCCTCCTCACAGATTTCAATGACAAAGTTTTAGTATAAAAGGAAGGTTTAATAAAGAAAACTCAGAGTTTCTTTAATCTTCTTTAGAGAATCATTTTATTTTGTATAAATCCTGGCAAAGTGGACCAGTGCTTATTTTCATGGCTGTTTTTAATTTCTAGAAACATTTTTAATCACTGCCTTACTAATGTTGTGTCTGTCCTGAGAGAGAAAAGTCATTTTTAGAAGAAATCCTTCATATTATACTTGATTACCTTTGTTATCATTTTTCAAACTATTTCCTTTGGGCTAAATCAGCATGCAGCAGTCTAACGCAGATCATTACAAACCCCTTTTTCTGAGATTTTACTAATCGCTGTGAACTAAGCAAAACATTCAAGTTGGTTGCTTCAGCTACTGCAGACTGTCCACCACCCTTTCGTTCAGAATGGCTACTGACAATTAGAGGTTCTTCTTTCCTCATCTTCACAGTTTGGAGACTCCCAGCAACTGCGACTCGTTCGGATCCTGCGAAGCACCGTGATGGTCCGTGTTGGAGGTGGATGGATGGCACTGGATGAGTTCTTAGTGAAAAATGATCCCTGCCGGGGTAAGGAGATACTTCTGTCGAGATGATAACACCGTAAAAGTACATCAACTTTGTATTCATCTCCAGCATCGATGACATACTTGGATACAATTTTGGTCATTTATTACAATAGAGTGAGTGTTTCACATTGGTCTGTCAGCCTGAAAGTTCCAGAGAACTTGGGGCAGCCATGTAAAACATGTTCTTCTCATTGGCTTTTTTACTTCTCTGGGTGAATGTGACACTGGTAGGCAGGAAATACTAGACTCGATCTTCCTTATGAGATGGTCCCACCTGCAGTTTTCAAAACAAGCAATGACACCCACCAGGGAAAGGATTTCATCTGTCATTAAATAGTAGAGTGGGAGGAAAGAAAGTTGAGGTGATGAAGACTGAAGATACTGGATAGTAAAAGTGTAAAAGTGAAAGTTTTTATGAAATTAGGGGACGGTGAGGAAAGTAATACTTAAAGATTAAAAAAATAGGAACTGCTAATTTGACTCTTACTTTGAAGTGGCAGATTGGAACATTAAAAATATAAACATAGACTATAATCGTGCTCACCATGTCTACAGCCTAAGAACCTCTGGCTAGCTTTTAATTTTCCTTATTTTTTCAGATCTTATTATCAATTTTTGAATTTTTAATTGATTTACTTTACACATGATCTCAGTCTCATTTACAGAATAGGCCCATTTTTCTCTGAAAAAATAGTAAGATTTTTGTGCTTTTCCTGTGACTCGTTTTAATCCTTTTAAACAAATAAACAGCAAAAAAAATGTCTGTGCCTGCGCTGTTAGGCTCCCAACTAGGAGGTCTTCCCTGAGCCTCTTGTTTCGGTGCTGGCGTCTATTATCTTCTGTTTGTTTTGTTTTTTAAAGATTTTTTACTTATTTTTAGAGAGAGGGGAAGGGAAGGAGGAAGAGAGAGAGAAACATCCACGTGTGAGAGAGTCTCATGCCCCCAACTGGGGACCTGGCCTGAAACCCAGGCATGTGCCCTGACTGGGGATCAAATCTCTGACCTTTTGATTAACAGGCCAGCACTCAGTCCGCTGAGCCACACCAGCCAGGGGTCAGTGCCGGCATCTGAATACACAGGTGGTGTGGTGGACTGAGTTCCTGTGCGGTCAGCAGCCCCTCTGATAGGGCCACAGAGGATTGCTGCACCACCACACTCAGGAGCTCTGCTCTCTGCAGGTCAAAGACACAACCACAAATGGCAGTCAAATAACAAAAGCTCCCTTTTTGTTTTATACTTTGAAAATAATGCAGCCTAAGGTAACGTAGTTCTGTTTATGAAACAAAGAAATGAGAACATGTAGTGTTCTGTTAGCAAAGTTAGCGTGACTGTGGCAATGTCTTCCAAGTACATTTTTCTTCTTGAGTCCAACCTTCGAATGCTTGTCCTAATGCAACTCTTCTAAATTGTGCGCGCTCCAGGCTGGATGTGAGCACCCTTTGCGTATTCAACTACTGTACTTTGTTTCTTCTCCTGCTAACAGTGTTCTTTAATGTGATCGGTATCCTGTGTCATTTTTTCTAGTTCATCATCATGGGAGTAAAATGTTACGTTCGGAATCAAACTCTTCAATTACTACTACTCAGCCTACTATAGGTTGGCAACCCCTCTCTTTGCCTCTCCTCTCTTACCTTTGCTCTTTCCTACGTTTACATTCTTGCTTTAATTATTTGTTTGAAAATAACACGCTTCATCCATTGCGTATGGCTTAAGTCACATCCAACTGAGCTGGTGCTTCCAAGTTTAAATTCGGACAGTTTCACACACTTGCGGTGTGTTGCAAATGTAGGTGCTGAGGAAGTGATCAAACACATGCTAACCCGTTGCTCATTGGGTTCCTGTGGAGTGTTCTCCGTGTGCACATGTGTTTGTACGAGTGTCGCAGCACTGATTACCTCGCGGATCCTTGGGTCTGGTGTTTGTTATTGCATGTTGGTAAAACAGAGCCTTTCAAGGCATAAAATAAAAATACTAGCCGCCTCCTTTAAAGAAAAACTTGAAAGTTTATATGTTGTCGTCATGATTAACAAGCCATCTGTCCTTCTGTGTAATTCTATTGTTTAATTAATCCCAGTGTTATTAAAATGCTGGCATTCTCTTGACCTTGACAGTACATGCAAAAGACACAGTCCCTGCTTCCCTGGCTTGTCTTCTCAGTGTGCAGAAGGGGCAGCGAACCCATGTGGGCATCAGTAGCTGGTGGATTAACAATATTTTAGCATGAGCTTTCCATTTTCATGCTGACTCTTTCTTTAATAGTGGTTATTCTGGCTGGTGTCTAGTGTTAGAATAAACACTTTTTTTTTTCTTCCCCAAACTTACTTGTATCCAAAAGGAATGCATTGTAAGGGAATGCATTTACCTTTTTGTTGTGCTGAGTTGGGGTTGGCATGGCAAAGAGATGTACTTCAAATCCTCAGGGTAACATGTGGTGCCAGGTGGTTGTTCGTCCCATAAAGGATTGACCTCCTCTCTTTTTTCTTCCTCTTCTGTTTGTGGGCACTGTCGTGTGGTACGCAATCCAGCTAAAGGAAGGACGAACATGGAACTGCGGGAGAAGTTCATCTTGGCAGACGGTGCCAGTCAGGGTATGGCTGCTTTCCGGCCCCGGGGCCGAAGATCGCGGCCTTCATCGCGAGGAGCTTCGCCCAACCGATCAACGTCCATGTCCAGTCAGGCCGGCCAGGCGGCCTCCCCGCAGGTCCCTGCCACCAGCACACCCAAGGTAGGACTCGGGGAGGGAACGTCTTCCTCTTCCCATGCAGTCAAAGTCTTGAGTATACTTTTGAGTGTCTTAGGACCCTAGAATTTGTGAGCTTTCTCCATTTGTGTTTCTTCTCACAATATGGGAAATGAAGGGTTTTTAAAAATATGTATATATTTTTGCCTTATGGCCTCTAGAGAGACTGTCTCTGTAGGTGCTGCTTTGGTTACCTTTCAGATTGTTTTTCTTTGTAAAGCTTCATTCATTTTTTTGGTGTGTATGATTTGTCATCAGATCTTTTCATTCATTTTTAATTATTGTTATTCTTACTTTGAAATGTGAGTCTTGGCAATGAGTATCTTTTTCTGTGGCTTCCTTTTTGATCTGCTCTCCTTTACATTTGATTTGCCATTGTTCCATACAGATTCTCCATCCTTTAACACGCAATTACGGTAAACCATGGTTGACAAACAGCAAAATGTCAACTCCTTGTAAGCCAGCAGAGTGCTCAGACTTTTCCGTGCCATCTGCAGAGGTATCGTAAGGCCCCGGCTTCTAGTCTAACAACAGCCTTCTTTAATCGAAACTGTCACCCACTAACATCGCTTTACCTCTCCCTTAATGTATGTGCTTTAGATAATACTACATTGTTTTAATTGACTTCCATAAAATAATTATCGACCCAGCAATTCTTGGAAGGCATGAGAGTAACTGGTTAACAGTAAAGACAGTTTTTTGCTCCATTAACAAGGTCAGCTTCACATGGTCACAGCTGCAAGTGCTGTACCTCCTTTGTTTTTTTGTCATCTTACTCATACTTAAATTATTTTTCTGTCATGGGAGAGTACAATACAGGCAATCATATCCAGCCTGAAGTAAAGTTTCTTTTAGAGCTGATGGTATACTATTGCTTGGAAACATAAAAAGTACAACCAACCCCCTTTAGGTGAGAATGAGAGGCAGTGTCGTTTGCAAGAGCAATCACTTCAATTAAAAGAACATTTATTGAGTGTTTGCTATAGCCGAGGTCTTTCTGAATGTCTGTTACATTTATTGCTGCCCAAGAATGGTAACCCTTTCATTATTAGAGGGGATTTGGAGCTTTGGTATATCAAAAGTTATGTGCCATTTTCAAAAGGTATGTATATTTGTTAGACTTTAATGGTTATTATCACTCAAGCAAGCTCGAGCTTTCAATACAGCTTGATATATGGGGATAAGGTATTTAGGTGATATAAAATTTGCCGAGATTGACACATAGATCATTTACATTCAGTTGAAAGTCACCCTAAAGGACATTCTCTGTAAAATGACAAACATAGACACCAGATAAGCACATTTGATCAACAAGAATCATAGTGATTAAGGGGGGGATCCCTAAATAGCTCCTCTTGAATTAAAAGAGGTATTTCATGTTCAAGGCCAGGGTCCAGGTATAAAAGTGGTAAGTGGCTTTAGAAAGCCCTTGACGCTTTTTGTAACACTTTCTTACCTAGTATTTAATCCTCTCGTCAGTGATAACAGGCAGACAGAGAAAATCTTATTACCCTCATGCCTCAGGTGGAAATAGCATTAATGATAGGGGTTGAAATGGGACGGAATCAATCATTCTTCAACCCTTCCTCATTCCCCCGGCCCCTCTTGTCCACCTCTTCCCTCCAGTGAGAAATGTGACTGTCACACATTACATCTAGAGACGTCTGCCACTCGTGCTGGGTCTGTTGTGGCAAAAACTGAGAGCAGTTTGAGGAACCTCGAGCAACATGATTTTTAAAAATATTTAGAGCTGATATGTTAGTTCAAAGTTTTAGAAAGTAGAGAGTCCCCAAAATTAAAGTCTAAGTATGCTATTTTGATTAGTAGAAAACTGTGTTTTATTTCAAGTAGCCTAATCAGAGAAAAACCAACCAAACGAACACAACAGCCATGTACTTTTATAGAAGGGTCTTTAAAGGTGGGGCTTATAACAAGAAAATCAAAGCAACCAAGAAAGCAATGTATTCTGAGCAGAATGATTCAGGTCTTTCATGGTAATGAATTCTGCCACCTGGGGTGATACTTCGTAATTGTGGGTCCTTGCTGTCTTATGGATTCTTGAGATTCTTAGGAGTTTAACTAGATGAGAGTAGTCAGATCTTGGGAAAATCACTTCCCTCCTCAGACCTCATTTTTCACATTTGTCAAAAAAGTTATGATTAGGTGAATAGGGAGATTAATTGTGGTCATACATGTGAATATACTTTGAAAGCTTAAGTATATTATATGCATGCAAATATATAAATTCTATATTGAAATATATGTATAGAACACTTATGTACGTGAATTATGGATATTCTGTTAATGTTACAAATTTGTAACCCTGCTGTATCAAAAGGTCTTACATATGCTTTATTAAATATTTAAAACTACATAATAAAGGAACAATTAATTTTGTTAATACACACATAATTTAATTTCTTCCAGATAACTCCCTGTGACTACGAGAATCCCTACACTTCTTAGGGCATTTGTTGTTGTTTTTAACTTTGGGAGGATTGTCAAAATGTTGTAGTGAGCTATAAAAAAAATGCCATGGTTCTAGACTTACAATAAAATTTCATAGTTGTGATTGCTTTAGACAGACTCTGTGAGCTCCTGTAAGAATTTTAAAAGAATTGTCCCCAGTGTGGCCTAGGTATCTTGTGTGTAAGAACCAGAGAAGGCGACAGAGCCAAGAGACGAAGGGGCACTGTAGCAATTTATAAAACGTCACTTTCCTTGCAGTTAATGTGTTTAAATTACAGCTCTCTGGGCTTTGCTTACTTATCGTTCTATTCCTGCTGGTTCAGTTTTGCCTGGTTCCCTACGGGCCGTGCTGCAGCAGAACAGCCGAGCACAGTCTCTCAGGGGCCCGTCTCCTCTGTCTGCCAGGCAGCCAGAATCGTTGTACCAGTCTTCTCTTTAACTCGGTAGCATGTACGAACAGACTGGAAGACGCTCAAGTACTCAGTTTCATTTGTCTTTCTTTTTTCCTTGCCATCCTTTGGGGATCTCAGTTGTTGTGTTTCTCTGCAACATGAATCCATGTTCTTTAAAAGTTCCCTTTGAATTCAGGGAGAGTATAAGAAATTAGTGGAGACAAGCAGGTGGAACCCATGCCTCATTGATGAGGTCTAGTAGAGGGTTTGCAGCCGCCTGTAAAGTGTAGTTGGTGTTACGTCACAGAACACGAGCAATGTCTTGAAATCTCTTTTCACTGGTTGAATACAGGGAACACCTATACAAGGCAGCAAGCTTCGACTTCCGGGGTATTTATCAGGGAAAGGCTTCCACTCCGGGGAAGACAGTGGCTTGATCACAACTGCAGCAGCCCGAGTCCGGACACAGTTTGCTGGTGAGTGTGGTACGTTTCCTTCTTTAATGCCTTCCGCAGCATCTTCTGAAGATGAAAGTCCCCTTACTCACCTCCTCACTTGGAAGAAATTATGAGTCGATAATGCTGTACTGTATTCTTTTGAAATGACACAGAGCCTCAGCCCTACCACCAAGGTAGGGGATAAGTGAGTCATGGGGTAAATAATTAGAAAATCCCTTTTGGAAAGTTCCAGAGAAAGATGAGAACAGAAGAAAAATTATGAGAGTATCCCATGCCTTTTTTAGCTCCGAAGTCTTGGTTCTTCTATTTGGAAAATGTCCTGGGCTTTATTTTGGGTGGCTGGAAAAACCCAAGTATTATGAACCAGCACTTCTCATATTTCTCATATAAACCCCAGAACCTGGGATTCTAGGCTCAGCAAGCATGAAGCTTCTTTAAAGTTTCAAGTCTTTTAAATTCCTGTGTGCTTTCAATGACTTCTCCTTGGGCTAGACCTGCACCTAAAAGTTTGTTTCGTTTTGCACTGCACACATCTGGGTATACACACTACACTTTGGAAAGGACAACCTTTGATTATAGCTGTTTCCGTATATCTGTTTGTACTGAATGGAATCCTGTTTTAAACAGGGTAAGCCCAAACCTCAATTTCATTTGTAAACCTAGCTTTTTCTATACTGCGTCTACTTAGAGTGAGGCTGCCCTACCCTTGTGGAAGGGAGAGAGGCCATGAATCCACAGTATTTTCTGAGTGCCTACAGGGTGTCAAGAGAAATCACTGAGACCAAGGGGGCATTAGGTTGCAGGAGTCTGTTGCAGATGCACCCGTGATAAGGGTGACCCACCTCTGCCCTTTCTCCTCAGACCCCAAGAAGACTCCCAGCCGACCAGGAAGCCGAGCTGGAAGCAAGGCCGGGAGCAGGGCCAGCAGCCGCCGTGGCAGTGATGCGTCAGACTTTGACATTTCAGAAATCCAGTCCGTGTGCTCAGACGTGGAGACTGTCCCCCAGACACACAGGCCTTCGCCCCGAGCGAGTTCTCGGCCATCCACAGCCAAGCCTTCCAAAATCCCCACACCCCAGAGGAAGTCACCTGCCAGTAAATTGGACAAATCCTCAAAGAGATAGTGCAATTGGTTCCACCAAGGTCCTTCCTTGAGCATTTATTATTTAAGTTTGAAAGATGTAAAATATGATGTAGAAATTATTGTGAAATATTGCAAGAGGTGAGTTTAAAATTCTGCAGATGGCCTTATTTGTGTATTTGTCTTTTTATTTTATCTGTATAATTTTTTTGTCAGATACTCTGGGGTTAAAGTCACGTCATATGTGAGGGGGAGGATAGAGTTTAACATACACTAACATTTCTGCACTGTGCATCTCGAGTACACACTAAAATCAATTCCTGTACCTGCAGGTAAGTCCACACCCTCTGATGTAAGCCACAGCCCTCCATCGGTAGCTAACGTTAAGGATACCTCATGACTTTCTCTTGCTTTCATAAACGCTCTGAAATGCAGATAGACACACACAGATGCATTTCGATATGATTTAAATATAAACCCAAAGCTGGAGGGCAAAAAGATAAACACATCTGCACAGGTACTCAAGCTGTGTGTGACAGAGAGCAGAGAGCTCCCAGGTAGTCACTGTAAGCACTTGCCCGTGCTCTGATGTCAGGAACCTTACACCATTGCTGTGCCATTGCTTCCCATGAGGCCAGAGGTGTCCTGGATGTTAGAACTATTATACTGTAAGAATATAATTATAAAGTGCATTCATATAAATGTGAGGTTTTCTTTCGCTTGAGTGGACAGCAGCACCTGTATCATCGAACTCATTTTTGTATCAAAGCAATTTTGCTTGCAGAAAGCTATGAAATAAAACATGTCCCTTAACTACACTGCTATGGAATTAATTTTTTTCCCCCAGGGAAAAATCAGTGTATTTTTTTATGAGCAATATCAATTTGGAGTGACCAAAAAATACTTAAAAATGGGTTTATTTTGATTTCTCATCTAAAATAATCATGTTCTGGTATTATATCTATATTTAATAAATATATACATTTTAACTTATTATGTATACTCACAATAGAAAGATACTAGTATGCATTTAATAAAACATATTCACTTGAACATATGGAATACCTGATTATTTAAAGTGAACTTTTCTGTTTGTTTTTTTGTTTGTTTAAATTAAAACTTATATGTACGATATATTTTTTACTAACAATGTAACTAAGGCTAAGCTCAGGGGACATCAATTGCAGGAATATGATATTATAATAAATATATAATAAAATTACATTACCCACTAATTTACAAATATATTTAATAAGGGCCAACCGTGTGCCATCCAGTTGGTGACCTTGAGGCTGCAGGGCCCCAGCCCTCTTACATTCAAGGGGGAAAGAGTTAATAAACAAATCACCAAAAAACATGAGCTAAAACCAGGGTGACAGGGTGGCTGATTTTATGACAGTAATACAATAATAGTCTTCTGGTCTATGTACCTTTAGAAGGCAAATGATAGAATTTTCCTAAATATAAAAATGGTATCAAATATAAGTACAAGTATGGCAGATTGTTACTTTGGGCATGACAGGTCATGACTCTCTCTATAAATTTGTAAGTTTATTTCAGCAAATGGCAGCAGTGGTGTTCAGGTTCAAGGGGAAGTACTGTGTGTTCCCCGCGCGGCCTTTTTCATGGAGGCCAAGGCAAAAGAGACTGGAATTCCCACTGACGGAAATTAGGTGCCACTTTTAAGTGATAGTAATTCCTTCTCTCTGAAAGCATGGGTCTCAGGTGGTAGCCTTGATGGGAAGGGTAATTCTAACCTAAGAGATCACATGCTATGATGCATGCATTTGAGTATAAGCCTGTCACCCAAGAAGACAGCTGAAATTGTTGTTATTCCTTTGGTGCCTTTGCATGTGATCCCGTTTCTACTTCAAAGACAAATTTAAGAGAATGATTTTATCTCAGCCCTTTTGAATACCACCCCTGTTAAAGACCTAGGGGTTTTACTTTTTTTTTTTTTTTTTAGTAATAAAATAACCTCTTGGAGAAAAATATGTGGTTTAAAAATTTCAGAGAAATCTTAAGGAACTGCTCCTAGTTATCAGCAATTGCCCTCAGGGGTAGCTTTTCAAACTCTGATGCCTCACTCATACTGTTTCATCTTGAACTAATCCTGGAGCCTTAGGCCGAGTTCAGAAAAGTCCTGCAGTTTCAGTGAACACAGCAGGCACACACACCTCTACTCCTCAACGCATTTCTGTCCTTTACCTTTTCTTTTTACGTTTTCTTTTTCCTTCCTGCCTGCCTTAAAGAAAAAACAAACTTTGGAATGAATCTCAGTTCTAAATATTTTAGTGTAAATATTGGTTCTGTTAAGAGAGGAATTTAGGCATATTAAAATTTTTAAGAGTTTATTTGAGCAAAACCTGATTGGAATCGGGTAGCTCCAAACCGGAAGTGCTTAGGGGTACTCCACTAACAGGAGCTCAGAGACAGACTTGTAGAAAGAAAATGCAGGAGCAAAGCCAGGAAATTATGGATGGGCTATACAGCTTTAAAGCCTAGTTGGCTGGCTGTGCACCTTTGTCCTTAGCGGTTTGATTTTGTGACCTTGAGGAATTTACAGGCTTAGCTTTGGGTTTGCTTACATAGACTACAGTCCACCATGGCGTTGGAGCCACCTCTGTGTAATGGCCTCCTCATTGAACACTTTCAGGTTAAAAGTTCTCCACTGTGGCCATGGTAATTCAAGATGATCTTTGGTAAGGTTAGCCTGCTTGTTTAGCTTTGAAACAAAGTATTATATCACCTGAGGCCCCTCGCTGACCCCAGCCTGGTTTCTGTGCCGGACCCTGTCCACCCCCCCGGACTGGTCCGACCTCAGCTGGTTTCCCTACACAGACAGGAAGAGAAATGCTTCAATTAAGTCTGAAATCACAAAACACAAAGGCTGTGGACCAGGGATCAGAGGGAGACTTAGGCGCCACCCCCAGAGGCAGCTCCAGAAAGCAGGCGCTCCTGCGGCCCAACACGTACCTTTGCTGGTTCCTCCTAGCTATGGGGGCGCAGACTGGGGACCCCTTTGGTTTCCTCTTCAGACACCGGAACTCTCAAAACATAAACATATTAAAGTTTGTGAGAGTTTGAGCAGAAATCAATTTGAATCCAGCAGTGCCAAGCCAGAAGTGGTTAGGAGGGCTCCCCTTACCCAGCTGGAGCTAGGGAGAGACCTTTATAGTGGAATTTACTTACTGGCCACAGTTTAAAGACTAGTTGGCTGCTTCTGGAGTTTGCCCCTTAGCGTTTTGATTTCCTAACCTTGAAGCCTTTACAGGCTTAAATTTGGGGTTGCTCACCTGAGCAGTCGCAGCATTAGAGCCACCTCGGCCCAAGGGTCTCCCTGTTTATTTAACAGTTCTTAATCATTAGAGAATCGGGATCATGGAGTAGACTTTTGTGTCTTAAAAACTCAAACGACTAATTCTTATGTATTGCTACCTCCTTTTCAAATAATAGGATATTCTTTTTTTGTACCAGTGCAGAAGTAGACAGGCCTGGACAGATCTCAGGTCTGGTTCCTTTGGTAGCAAATCTGGGTCAAAGGGCCCCGGAAGTGCCCTGTTGGCCGGAGGGAGGTTGACCTGTGAAAATGAAACGGAAAAAAGTCTGGGAAAGGATGTTGTTTTCCTTATTTTGATCATTTTAAAACTTGTTAATATTTGCAACAATAAAAATTGTAATGAGCTGCAGTTGTTTTCTCCTTTTAACAAAGTGTTTTGAAACGCATGTGCTTTACTGTGAAATGGGTGGTCTGGTGTCACCCACCAATGCATTTGCAAGTGCCCAAGCTATTGTGTCTGATGACACTGCCTTAGACTCCACCTTCTCTGCCAGTTGTGTTAGTCTTCTCTGGTGGCGTATTTCCATCAATAAAAGTTTTTCGAGCAAACACTTCTAATGAATGTACATTAATTTCTTTGAAGTTATTATTTGCATATATTCATTATTAACCAATTTCTCAAGGCTCAGTACAATCTTGGAGTGAAATTTATCTTTAATGACATTGACATAGGTGTACCTACATATTTTTTTCTAGAAATGTATTTATTTCATCAAGATTTTCAAGTGCATTTACAGAGTTGTGCAAAGGAGCCTCTTTATGGTTTTTTAAAATTTCCTGTTTTGGTGGTTTTTCCATTCTACATTAACATTATGTGTTTGTTTGCTTCCCTTTTTTATTAATTAGGTTTGCAGTTTGTCTGTTTGATTATTTTTAATATATTTTATTGATTATGCTATTACAGTTGTCCCATTTTCCCCCTTTATTACCATCTGCCCTGCATACCCTCTCCCATCCGCATCCCCCCCTTTAGTTCATGTCCATGAAATTATATGTTGCCCATGGATCATACATGTAAGTTCTTTGGCTTCCACATTTCCTATATTATTCTTAGTCTTTGGTGAGTTTTTTGGCCAAATTTTTATCAAATCTGATTAGATCCACCCTGGTTTAACTCACGATGTGGCTGATAAAAGGCTTGTTCCAGAAGCATCATCTTTGCCATTTTCTTAGTTGTTTTTTTCATTGTGTCTTCAATCCATGTTGATTTTTAAAAATGTGCAGGGATCTATATAAGCCATATTTTGTAAAGATTACTTAGTGAAAAAGAGATAAAATATGTAATCTCACCCGGGTTGGTATAAATAATCTGCAGTCTACTGCACGTGCTGAAAGCAAACTAGGAGTTTGGGAGCTGTTGGGACACCCACTGTCCTCATGTCACCTCAGATACTGAGCATGAGAGGACACTGGGGATGTCCCTGAAGGACAGGCACCAGCGTCAGTCTGTAGTAAATGTTCATGAAGGTCAATTTGCTGCTCCTCCTTTTAGATGGAATGTAAATATAAGTTGACATCTTATTTTTTTCCCCATATCCTATGGGTTCACCTTTCACTCATCCTGTTTTGAGGATCACTACTGAATCGATCCTTAACTGTCACATTATTGTTCTATACTATTTTCTTCTTTCTCCTGTTTCTCAGCCATCTTTGTGAACGGGGTAAAGGAAGTTTATAAAGTTCTTTTCCCCTCTGCTCCTAGTTGTTCAACAATGCACATGTGTGCTCGGGGTTACGTGTAATTGCAGGCATACCTCGTTGTATTGTGCTTCTCTTTGTTGTGCCTCACAGGTGTTGCGTTTTTTAACAAACTGAAGGCAAGATCCTCCACCAGCGAAAAGGTCACGACTTGTTCTGTCGTGGTATTCGCTTTATTACAATGGTCTGGAACTCACCTGACGGTGTCTCTGAGGTATGCCATGTAGTCCTGGTTAGCTAGTCTCCAAAAATTCAGTAGGGGTGTGGGGGATAAGCCACAGTTTAGTTCTGGCCCTTGTTACCTCTCACCTGTGCTACTATAATGGCCACCTGTTTAGATAAGTCTCCTCCTCATTTCCAGAGTTACCTCCAGACATCAGTTTGGAGAAATGGACATCAGAGAGAGGGGCCTGCCTTTGATCTGAAGGACTGGAAGAAAGGGTGATTAAGGTGGGACAAGAGAAGCTGAGGGAGTTACCCTGAAGTGACTTAACTATTGTCGGCAAAGTAGATGTGCCCTGCTTGGCGTTGAGGAGACGGTTATAGTTTAATGTATTTGAGTTGAGCAGAGATGGTTTGTAAGAGCTGAGACCATGAGTTTATAGTTGCCCTGATCTGCAGGGTGCGGCCTGATGTACAAACAGAGGGCAGGAAGTTTGTTGATCCAGAGCCAGGGTTTTTCCAGCCAGGCTCAACAGAAAGCAAGGGATTGGAGCAATGGAAGGGAGCAGAGGGCGAAGGATGGGTCGTTACATCAGATTCAGGTGTTAGGTACCCAGCAAAAAAAGGTCTGGGAGGAAGTCACACTAAGGGAGGGAGTTTGGATCCAGATGGCAGGACTCTGGAGCAGTCTGGACAAGCACACAGGAGGGATGTATTATGAAGAGTGACATATTTGGGGCATTGTCTAAGGATTGCAAGAATGTGAATTTTGGTGTCCTCAGCAGTTTGTTAAAATTAGTCTCAGCTGTTCCAAGTCTTCATTGATTATTATTGTGCTTGTAGCAGAATTTGCATGGAGAAAGCAACAGTCACTCCCTAGAGTGGGGGGAGGGTGGAAGAGCCTGCCCTTCAGCTGGGATTGGTTATGCTTCAAAGCCCCAAGTAGGCTGACGTGCATTTGGGTGTGTGGCTCTGGCTCTTCAGGAAGGCAGGAGCCTCAGGCTTCAGGAGTATGGTATGTTGATGCATACTTTTTAGATCTATCTGTGGGCCTGAATTAAAAATAGGTTACCGTAAAGGCTACCTTTCTTAAAGGGGGCCTGACCAGGGAGAAAACCAAACATGGTTAGGTTTTTAATTACTGTCCTAGTGTAGAAAAGTTTAACCAGTCAGCGGACATATGTTCTGGTCAACAGTTTTGTCACAATATAGCTGCCTGAGAAATGACCAGTGAATTCAGGCGAATGGAGCAGGTTTGAAGCAGCATCTTCAGATGTAAACCATAGACTTCACAATGCCATTTCTGATCATGGGTTGGTTTGAAGTTGCTTCTCCTGGAAAATCTTTTGCTTCTTCAGGTACTTGATTATGCCTACATTGATTTTTATCTCTGTTTTCATTTATAAAGATATATGTGTATATATATATATATATATATATTACATGAGGTTCCCAACCAGTCATTGAAATACCAGATAAGTATTATTTGAATTTTATGAATAACTTAATGAAGCTAGAGAGGTTGTTATTAGTCTAGGCTCACACAGCTAGAAAAATGACTAAAATAAATCTTTCCGTGCTGAGACAAGTAATCTTTCTACCCTGCCTCACCGTTTTCCCAGGATCTCTGCATTCTTTTCTAAAGATGGTAACTTCACAAAGACATGGTCATGACCTCTCTCTCTCAAAACACACACACACACAGAAAATCACATCTGGATTTTCCAGAGGAGCAAACACAACAGCTTTAAAGCTGTTGTAAGATAACTCTTCGCTGGAGAGTTGGAAACGTCTGTGTTCCACAACTACATTAATTTTCCGTTGTGTCATGTCTCATTGAATTATCTGGTTCCAGAAAAGTGGTGACCTTTTGAAATTGGTTTCTTCAGTAAGATAGTATAATTTGAGACCACTAATATCTAACACCAGCTTTCTGGGCAGCCATTACAAGACACAGGAGTTCCTCTGTAAATCAGATAACTCTGTAATCAGAGTTATCTGATTGCTTCAGCAGATAACTACTAGAGTCTTTGTTCTTTCTGTTGCCAAATTGGTTCCAAAAATGACTTACTGGAATTAGAGTTGTGAATACTCTACATTTTGCTTAAGTTCATTGACAATATATGTGGATAAATGCCGGGACTCTTCACTACTATGTCACTGTGTAGTATTTTCAGATCAAGTGGTTTTCGAAAATTCATTTCAGGTGTAGAGACACAGGTATATGTGATTTAACCAAAAGACTGTGTATGATCTCTATCGTCCTGGTTTGTTCTCGGTCACGTGGACTACAGTGTGCTACAAGATGGTCCTAGGCATTTATTTTCATTCTATTGCTCAGATTAGGTAGTTCTTTCATACATGTGTTCTTTTGCTCATTCCTACTCTTATACACTTCTGAAAATGTATCTTTTAAATATCAGTTTAGTATATCAATGTCAGAATCATTTGTTTTTGCCAAATGAAAGTTGTTAATTCAGTGGAGAACTTTTATTTAGGACGATCCTTTGACCTATATTAACTGAATTTTGGGAGTGGGATATTTTGTGCATTCTGTGCATAAAATTAGTACATTTTTAATCAATTTCTGATTATACAACTACTCTTGTTAATTGTAGGAAATTCAGTAAATACATAAAAGTACAAAGAGGAAAATCACTTATCACCCCACTACTCAGAATAAACCATTGCTAAATTAAATTTGGAGGGGTTGTTAATTTGTTTTAAATTTTTGATGTCATACTTACTTTCAGTTTGCATCTTTAAACTCCAAAAGGCCAATGACACTGTCAGTTACTTATCTGTAGTTATTTTAGTCTTAAAACTTAGCAGAGGATGATATTTATATTGCTTTTCATTTCTGTAGAACAATTGCCCTAAACTGGGTAATTTCAAATAATTTATCTAACAGTTTCTGTGATCAGAAATCTGGCCAAATGTTGCAGACCCTGTCCAGCAGAGTCTGCCTGTTGTGGTTGACAGTGAGAATCAATGCACAGCAACAACAACCCTGTGTGGAAAAGGGACTGGCAGAACTACTCTCTCAAGGGGAGAGTGCCTGTGGTGCTTCCGCCACTCCCTCAAGACGGGAGCACCATGACCCTTGCCTAGACAGGCTTTTATTGTTTTCCTGGGGTCTTACATCATAGAAAGATGTATTATCTATCACACAGAACATTATTGTCTACATTCTAGGTACAATCAAGGAAATAAAAATAGCATGAAGAGAGGGATAGCAATGAGCTCATTAGCTCTGTCCTTCGGGGAGAGCTCACACAGGCTTTGGAAGTTACCTCGAAGATAGACAATACACATTTGTTGCTTTAGACCAGGGTGAGGGAGTTTTATCAAGAGCAAGCCATAACAGTCTGTAAGTATTTTCTAGGCCTGATTCCTGCGGGAAAACTCGGTTTGAAGATCTGGCTCCTGCCCACCACTTCACATCTGTAGGTTTTCCATACAGAGCTGAGTCACATTTGCCAGGCCAAGACAAACCAGTCCCCTACAGCCAAAGCCTAGTTGGGTCCTTCATTCACTTCAGGATCTCTTATGAGGCTGCAGTCAAGGTGCCAGCTAGGGCCTTAGTCATCTGGGTCTCGGTTAATTTGGGGCAAGATTCACTTTTAAGTTCACTCATTGGTTGATAGGTTATCAAGGTTCCACTCCTCATGGGCTGTTGGACTAAGGGCCT